AACTCTGAAGCTTTAAGATTCCTCAAGATACTGTTAAGGTTTTCTTGATCTCAGAAAATTCTGGTGGCCAAGATATCTGCGGGGCAGAAGCCATGGGCAGGTGAAACCTACCGATTTCAAAGCCCAGGGCTGTGAGGACTGGCAGCTTGTGAAGGAAACCTCAGCAAAACCCTAGAGCCCTGACTCTCCAGCACCAAAAATGGATGGTTTTGGCAACAGGCTGCAACTTACTCTCTGGGGTCTACAGCAGGGCTTGACAGAGTTCTCTGCAGGGAACACAGATGTGAGAACTTTAATGTGCTGCACACTGGGGAAACCAGAAAAAAAGCCAGACCTGAAATGCGTTACGACCACAGGAAATGAATTCAAATCAAACACTGCAACAAAACATCCGGGAAAAGTGAGCTGCAACTTGCCTCTTGGGGCAGATGATCTAATACCTGGGACTGAAGCTCAGTGATCTGGCCCGTGGTTTCTAGCTACACAGTTACTTTTGAGTTGATCAGATGGATGGTATCATCTCTTAATGATGAACAAGAAGCAATGTTGAGCAGAAGAAAACCGAGGACTTTATTAGGACACTAGCAAGAATTTTCTCCTTAAAATAAAATTACACCTGTTGCACACAACACTACAATTAATTTGTATTAATTAGCTGATCGCATTATGTTTTAAATCTTATCTGCAGACAATGAATGGATTCCATGAATAGGTATTCGCTGACTGGTAGTTAGCTAAGAATCATTCAATTTGCCCTAGGAAAACAACAATTAACACAAAACACAACAGGTTATCTCAAGCTACCAGAAGGTTATCATGTTTATCCACTGGTCACTACATTGATTCTCTCCTGAATATTGCACTTTTTTTTAAGATTCAGATCTTTTCTTCACAATGTTTAGATGTCCAGGACACCCAAAATATCATCTCTCATCCCAGCATTGTAATCCTAGTCTTAAGCACTAAAGAAAAGATCATAACAAGGCCAAAACTAATTCATATAGGAGCCTGAGCTTCCTCAGGGACTAATTCAAGTAGGAGGAACTAAGACCTGTTTACTTTTGAAGGTTAATTCCAATTGACCTAAGATCTGAATTGGTAGCAAAATCCCCAAAGTTCATTTCACCTCACTTTGGTCAACAATGCTATTTACCCAGGTTCCCTATATAGTCAGTAGCAAGAGATTATCTTCAGAGAGCAATGTAGGTCGCAGGTGGGCTGGGTCATCTTCGAGAGAAGATTCCCTTAAAAGCATCACATGCCACTTTGATAATCTCCTTGCCGAGCTGGCCTGCCCCACAGTGGCTTTAAGTAAGTGGGGTGAAAGGGTGCATGTGGCCAAATGCACCTCAGGTCAAACAGTAAGACAGGTGACAACAGACATGACACAATTACAGCAGCTGTAGAGAACCATGCATCCATTGGGGTTTTCTTTTTTTTTTACTTACTCCTTTAGTAGCTTCTAAACTAGCTTGAACTGCAAGTTTGTAGATGGTGAGCTGTTTTACTAATCTTACACTGAGGTTGTTCTTTCAGGAAATTTCAGGTAGCTTTCTAAGAAAGCCCTCTATTACTCTGCTCTGGTACTGTATACCCACTGCTCATCTTCCCAGGTCTGCAGCATAATCTGCTCTTACCAGCTCTGGGATAACCTTGCACAGTTGAACATATCCTTTGGAAAAAAATCCATTGGCCACCATGAATGCAATGATCTACAGCGAGGTTTGACTACGCTTGGTACACCCCAGTCAGAGCAAGGCAACTGAAATGGACTCTTCCCTTTGAAGTCAATCACTCACATGGAAAAGACAGTTCAAACGTGAAATTATCCTGCATCATTTTTCTAGGTTACTTCATGCAATGTATGAGCTTTTAAGTTCTTTAGAAATTGTGGCAGTCCCCTTCTTCAATGAAAGATGATTTCTGGCCTAATTTTACCAACAAAAAAAAAATATAGCAGAGTATAGTCAAAACACAGGAATTAGAAAGAAGTCTGTGCACACAAAAGTTTTCCTTCTGGTAGAAGGAAACAGACTGAAGAACAAGCAAACTATCTGTGACTGGCCAGCCACATCATATAGGTCATCTCTGTAGGATGACAGCCAAAAGAGCAGCACAAACATTTTTATTCACTAGGATTTCTACGGATTACTAAGCTCTCTTAAGGAGAATGTTAAATATTACAAAAAATAAATGAGGGGATGTAGAGAGAAAGAGGTGGCTCATCAAGCTTGCCCCTTCATGATTTCTTGACCCTTAGAGATTTCTGCTACTATATACTCTTTCCTACTGCTACTATATGCTCTTTCCATAAGCAGCTCCTCATTATGTCCTTATTATTGCTGCTCTTGTAAGTCTGTGAAAGGAGCATCAAGATTAGAAAGAAAGAACTGAGCCTGCAGGAAGACAACATGCTGTTCACACATTGCCTAGGGAAAGGCTGAGGATCAGCAACTGTTACCAAGAAAATATCCTTGGCAATTATTTTCAAAGCAGCTTCCTCTTCCCCTATCCCTTTTTATCCAAGTGTAGCTGTTCCTCCTTTTTACAAGCTGGTTCCTTGTAAGTCAGTTATTACTTTAGCAAAATGCACTACAATATTCTACTGCCCAGTACTCGCTAATCTCACACATTGTCCTTGTACAACACAGGCAGACTAAGCTGTTGTTGAGATAACTGGCTTCCATTAGCGAGTATGTGATTGGCAGGACGATAAAGTCTTTTCCCTTGCAGGTCAGCTGCTTTTTACGAAGAGGGCAATCCTGCTGATCCATCTTTTAGCTACAGTCTCTCACTGAGTCCCAAATCTCCTGCCTTTTAGCTTTGATACGGTTCAAGCTTTCCCCCTTGTATCAGCCCCTACCTGTCATCAGCTCCTCTGTACCAAATAGCCAATATCAGGAGTTTGACCTCAGGGCACAGTCCGGGTGGGCAGGTAAAACCTGACCACTGGACCTACTTCCTTATCTTTCATATCCTGCAATTCATGAAGAAGTATCAAATTCAAACTAAAAAACAGAGGCATGACCTTTTATAAGAACTTTCTGAAAAAGGCTCTGTTGCCTTGTTAAGTATTCTTGAAAAGAACTGTCATCCATCCTATTAGGATAGAAATGGATCACAAATAAGGAAGAGAGGGAAAACAGTGTAAATCCTTACTAAATGGCAAATGTTGCTTTTAATGTGTATGAGCAATACCTCTGTGTTTTGGTGAGGCACGCAAAATATAGAGTCTCCATGCTCCAAAACTAGGATTATTCTACATCTATAAGTCCAAATAACAACCTAATAAAAATAGTTGCCCAAGCTTTTGCTGTTTATGAAGTACCTGAAATCAAATAGATTGCCATAGCATAGAGCAAAGAGTTACTTGTGCCATAAGAATTCTAAATATAAGTCGCCAACATAAACCGAGTGCTATCATAAGCAATATCATCCTTATTTATGCAACAAGCTCGATGTCTGGTACTTAGACATACAAAAATATTATTTGTTTCCTAGAGCAAGTATGCAAACACGTTGCCCCCCTGCATGGCTGGAAGTCATGTTTTCCCTTGAAAGAAATGCAGGCTCTGCAAGGATTTATTGCACTTAGGAAAAGGAAAGAAATGGTGCCAAAATCTCTCAACATCCTATCCCTACAACTAAATTGGCTTAGTACAAATTGAAAGGTGTTTAGTCACTTCTAAAAATGATAATAAAAAAAGAATGAAAAAGAATCCAAAAGAGGAAGGCTGCTAGTCCAGGCAAGATTTTTGGTATTTTAAGTTTGACAGAGCCTGTTTCACAAACCAGTTTGTAACTTTTGACCTTCTGGAACTCCTAATATACAGGTATCATAAGGTATCATATTAACAAGTTTTAGGGGCTTGATCCTGTATCCTCGTCACTCAGCCCATACTCATCCTGCTGTAGACAGTGTTTGCTATGTTATATCTCTATGAGAATTTAACACAGACTTCTACATTTTAACTTTTTCATTGAAATCCTTTCTAATTATTAGGAGAAACTAGAACGTTATCTAAAAAACACTGTTGCCCCAGGTATTTTCCTTTCTGAATTGTGGTTTTTTTTTTTAATATCTTGTTGAGAGAAAACTATTGAAAGCAAAAACCTCCTAACTATATTTGTAATTATGGGGTTTTTTTTCTGCTTTTCTCTTATTTTCTAGTGACTTTGGAAGACTCATAATAGTGCTGAAAAATATCACCAAAGTCTGCAGTAAGTTAAAGTGTCTCCACTTGCAGCTAATGACTCGTTTCATGAATGACACTTGTAATTTTGAGAATACATCCTTTCTAAAAACTTACTTTAAGAGAGAAAAGTTATGAAAATGATTTTTTATGATTGGACATGATGTCAGAACTTACAGAGAACAAGGAATAGAAATAACTAGGTGAAATTAAGAGAAGTTGAAGTTCGTTTGGAAAAAAACTTCCTTTTGGCAAGACCATGGAAAAGTGCTTCCAAATACAGAAGTATTTAAAATTAAATCTGACATAGAATACAGATTGGCCAGTTGGAATAAAGCTGCCTTCCAACTGCTTAAACAAATTTTATGTATTGAGTTAAGGACAGGAAATGCTAAATAATACCATGCCCAATACTGCTCTCCAGGGAGTAGTTCCATAGAGAGGATCAATTGCCCAAAATGGAACCAGGCCAGCACACCACAGTAACATGTACAGTCATGAAAAAAAGCATCACAGAATCTTTACAAATTGTCAGGACCACAATTCAACATTTTATCCAGTATTGATTCATGATTATATTCAGTACCACCAGTAGCACAGTACCCCGTAACATTACATTGGGGGGAAAAAAGTTTAGTATAACTAAATTATAGGGAATGGTGCCACTAATAGCACTTGAAATAACTGCTGCTTTTCAAAACTAATTACTTGGGAATGCTAAAACATGAAAGGTTCTTGAATTTAATAACTTCAGCATTGGTCAAAAGGGGAAATTAGCAGGATAAAAAACAACAACTAGTGTCTTACTTGTCTGAGGTCGATGAAAGCTAACTGCAGGGTGTCTCCCTGGAATCCCGGCACAGGCTCAGAACTAGCAAACACTGCAAGGGAAGGTTGAAAATATTACAGATGCAGATTTTGGGGGAAAAAAAAAGCAGCAAATCAATTTTTTACACATTATAAATAGTACTGAACATTAAAATGAAACTATTTTGACGGAAATAGATTCCAATTACTAATTCACACTGATAATAAAGCAATAAAATGTCCCCCAAATTTTCCAGATCCATTAATCCCCAATAACAAGACACTTAAGTTGTTTCTATTGCTTAAAATTCTAAAACAGTAATAACGTTACAACCATACACATCTCTACATATTTGTTCAGAAGTGAACAATTACTGAAGCATTTTGAAATGATACCGATTCCATGGCTGACAATCTTTTTAAACAGCTGCTTTTGTTACAGCATCTGCTCTATAAAAATCCCACCTCTAGCCAAACAGCCATAAAAGATAGACACTAAGGTGAGAGTTAGCTTAATGTGCAGGCCACAGGTGGAAAGTCCTAAGGGCCACAGTCTGAACAAAGCTGGAATGTCTCTTCATGCCTTTAACCAGCTTATTGATAATGGACCTCTGCTCTTTATGAGTCTTGAAAGAGACTGGCAAAATTGGAAGGCAAAAGTATGTTCAAAATACAATATAGAAAAAAAAACCAACAACAAAAAACCCCATTTGTGTCAAGGAAATAAGTCAGCTATTCATTTAAGTTAGGAAACTATCATTAACTGTCAAGCTTCAAAAAATAGACTCTTTTAAGAACTACTTTTTTTTTTTCATGGTTTTAATGTAGTTTGAAGGTGGCTTAGGGAATTACCTGCAACAGTCCCAATCTCACAGATTTCAGTTTCTGTTGCTCAGTAAAATGACAAAATAGGAAACGCATTAAAACTAAGACTCTACATCAGGTATACATGAATACAAAGTAATAACTAAGAAATGTCAGAAACTGATGATACAAGCTATTAAGAACTACACTCTGGAGAAGCCCAAAAGCTCCTGGAAGAAGAAAACAACCGCTCTTTCCAGAAGCCTCCTCCCTTGAGCACTATTTGATGTAGCTTTAGGCAATTTCCGACTTTCTTCTATGAAAATCTCATGAATCAAAGCTCTGTTTCCTGCAGGTATTTCACATCCACTGGGACTGCTCTTTCCTTAAAGGGACCTTTGACTGTGGCCTTTGTCAAACACAGTGTTCAAAACAAGGGAAAGCCATACACTGTGCTGGGGAATTCTTCGTAAAGCGCCACAACAAAGAGCCCAGAAAACACACGGGGGTTACAGCTATGGCAGCCCACCAGCAGGAATGGGCAACAGGATTCTCCAAAGGGGCTTTAAAACTCCCAGGTGAGGGAAGAGAGCCTGTACCCTGCTTGCAGGAGGTCTGCTGCACCTGACCCTGGATGACTTTCCATTCATACCCTGCACAGGGATGTCAGCTTCTCCCTCTTGAATCCGAGTCACATCAGTCACTCCATAATGGTACCAATGGGAGAAGCAAGCAGTAGGGAAACTGAATGGCTAGGGATCTGTAAAGTCTTTACAAAGGTTAAGAATAAATCTTTGCAAGTAGCTTTATATATTTCCCTATACTGGGAGATACTTTCCTATAGTGGGATAATTTACTTACCACAGGGAAAACATCTGCCTCTTCCATAGACTGTCTGGCTATTCTAGTTTGGAATTCATCCTAATGTATTAGGTAGCACAAAATTGATTTACTCTTTTACTACCAGGGCAACTATAAAGCAAGAAGCATACAAGGCACCAAATTAAATTTTTATATTTGTTCCATATTCCCAACTTCATATTATAAATACATTTACAACATGCGAGGGGAGTGAAAGCAGGGGGGCAATCATAAAAGCATAAACATCCATTCTCACATTTGGTGTCAGTTTTGACAGGTGACTACAGCAGAATTTGTTTCATTATTATAATTCCAAGAGTTCAAAGGGCAAAAAGATAATCTACTTACGGTAAGGTCAGACAGTTTTTTCCCCCCCACTCAGGGCTTTTAAGCTTTGCTAACAATTTTACAAGGCTAATTAAATATTTTTGACTGCACAGCATTTTAGGAAGATATTACAAGAACAGGATTAGCATTCTTAATGTCTTTGTCCTAAAGGTCCCTTTCAAGATAGTAATGAAACACTGTCATACTTGTATTTTTTAAAATATCCCCTCTCTACATTTATTGCAGGCTTAAAAAGGATTTGGGTAGTGGAGGAGTTGTTTGTTTGTTTTAAAGTGCATAACAACATTCAGGATTTCTACAATATATGAGAGTAAAAATTCAAAGATCAGCACTCAATGCTTTTCAATAGAGACAGACCACTAATAGCTCTCTAGTTTGTGACGGACTTTAGTGTTTTCAAAAAACTAAGGTGAAAATAAGCTTTGCACAAATCTGATATCCACAGGGCTTTTGTTAACATGCTTTCCTGCACTCCACTGGTATAGCATAGACATTTCCATGTACGTAGATAGGATCTTTGACAGAATGTTTCCACAATAAGCCAAATCTCTTCATTATTATAACACAGAAATTAGGATTAAAGGAAAATAGGATAAAACAACAACAATAAAAAAGCTATTATAAGAAAAACAGGTCAGATGGTAATAGATACATATGGATAGTAAATTCACTCACTGGAAGGATGACTTAGGCTTGTTTTCTTTTGAATATTTCAATTTGGTCGTTTAATTACCCTTTTTAGATAGGATATATGTGAATCCATGTACATATGCATTATGTATAAATTAGCACAGTTTTCCTTCCCTTCCTAGCATGGAATCTTGACTCCAAGTCTGAACAGCAAAGATGCCAATGTATTTTTCAATGAAAAGCAGCGAGCCGGGTGCCTGGGGCGGCAGCCGCTGGCCACTTGGCAGCCCGGCTGGGCACCCCAGCTGCGCAAACACGGCTGGAAGCCTCATGGAGGGGCTGCCGGCTGCCCCGCGCGCAGCCCTCGGCTCCGCCGCGCGGCCCCTGCGCCCGAGCGCCCGTACGGGGCCGCCTCATGAAGCGGGGTCCAAAGTGAGCTCCGTAACCTGGCTTCCCCGATGGGAGACGAGGCAGGGGAGGTGAGGAGAAGAGAGAGCTCCTTCAAGAAAAACAGAATTTGGGGACCTTGGCTTCAGGCATGCTTGCCTGTGCAAGATCACCTTTCTGTAGGCTCAACGGAGACGGTCCAGGCTAAGATCCTGTTCTTGGATACAGCAACTCTTATGAGCCCAGCAAGTCAAAGAGGGGGATTGGGAGAAGTCTTAGGTTGGACTAGCCTGGAGGGCCTATTGAGTGCAGCTCTGCACTACTTCTGCGCTAAGCCCTGCTCTTTCAGGCCTTCTCTCCTCCTGCCTTATAGGCAGGGTGCAAACCTTTGCATCCTTGCACAGATTCCTGTCTGGATGAGGCAGGGTGCTGACTAAAATAAACCTTGTTCTGCCACTTCATCCTATCTCACAACCCGCAGATGTTAAAACATGGGCGCAGACTACAAAACTTACGTAAATTACAAAAATCACTAGCAATTTTTTCAGCCACTACATTTTATGAACTAGTTATTAAGTAAAATGCTGATATTAGGCATCTAGGTCTGGATGGCATCTTAAATTGAAGCTCCACGTCTCCTTAAACTTATATTCTGAATTTTAAAGATTACAACAAAAATATGAGGAAATCTAATTCTGGATAAGTCAACATCACTCAAAAAAGATTCTTTTCTTCTTCTGCTATTTCCACAAGTATGGAAAACTATATTACAATATAACACAAAAAATGCTCCATACATGTTATAGAGTAAAAAATAGAGTAAACATGTTACATGTTTACTATTACTCTTTTACTTCAACAGACATACAGGAAGGATTTCAAGTACTACCACGTCAAGCAATTTCAAGCACAGTAGCTAGCTCCATAAAGGAATGATATACACAAAATTATTTTGTACTCATGTTATATAGATATATATGATATTAAGTATATTTAACGATGAATTAGTCTGATAAATACATTAAACATTACCAGTAGCGGTCTACTATTAGTATTATCAAAGTTCAAAGGCTTGTTACCACTGGCTTTGGGGTTCCCTAACAAAACCAGCATGAATTCCCCAAGAGATCTCTGTCCCTGAAAAGCTCATTTCCTCTTATTTACACCTTTCTTCAAGCCACATTGGACTTTCCTCTTCAAGAAATGGCAAGTGCCTCCCTTCTTCAAAATACATTCTTCCTCAAGGCACTGTAATCCAGTGTGTAGGCATGGGGTTATTCTCTTGAGTTTTATTTAATGAGACCTCATAAATTCTGTTTTTCTGGGTATTCTTCTAAGAATCTCAATCATGCTAGTGGAAGATCATTGTTGACAAAGAACAGTGGAAAACACAGAGGTAAAACACTGCTCCGTGCTACAAAACATGTTGAGAAAGTAGAGAAGTACTACAGTTAGAAAGGGATAACATGGAATCAAAGTTTTTGCAACATTTGGAAGAGTCTTAGAAGCAGAGCAGCTAAAACCTGCCTTCTTTAATACAGAGAAGACCATCACTATTGTTTTTTTAAACCATCACAAAAAATCTCCCAACCTTATTCTCTAGCAAATAATCTAGAACAGCATCTTCCAGATTTGCAGCTCTGCCTCTTAAAGTCAGGCAGTTTGCATAGAAAGGCAGTATAACAAAAATTCCAGAGTACACCACAAAATCACCTCCTTCCCTTCTTCACCACTACATCATTTAATGGAAGTCCTCTTATCATTCTATCTTATCATTCTACCTGTTTGCTAGGACTGCAGGATATCAGGACTTACTGACTTAACAGTTCATTAACAGATTGTTGGGCTGTTTGCTGGATTGCTGATTGTTTTTTAATGGAAAAAAAATCTGACAAATAATCACATTTTACTGCTGTTATTTATATCTCCCCAATTTCAATCCAGAAAGTATAAAAATGCAGAGTAATACAATCAAATAAACATCTTGAACATTGTAAATTTAAAAAAAAAATATATAACTTCAAATAGTCATTACTCTCTGCGTTTCAACAACTACTTATTTCAAAATGCATCTGAGCATACTCCCCTCTACCAGGAAAATGTCAAATCCGTGTATGCAGTATAGTAGGAAACTGGCCGACATTTGTGAATTATTTGCACAGCCTGAGCGCTAATTGAAATGTCACTGTTGTATCCATTAATCCCAAGACGTCAAAGAAGAAAGCTGGAGGAGGGTGATGAGCAAGAACATAAATCACAGGCATCACAGTGATGTCTGGAATGTGCCTGTGATGGACCTTATGAATGAAACTGCAACAGCAAAGCAATCTCCAGGCAAAATCTTGTGACAATCCCTTATTCCACAGATTGTAAGATGCTATTTGTTGTAGCATACCATTGTGGCAAGTTTCCACAATTAGATTTAAACTCCCCAAAGGGCTTCTGTTTAAAACCATCTTTCTATTTTTTTCTAACATTCTTTAAAAAGCTTTGTAGGAAGAAAGGAAGTTAGTTTGTGATATTTGCAGTTGTACAGCCAATGCTCTAAGTTATGTAATGATTGAAAGCATGCAGTTTTCAGTCTCTATTAAGTTACTACCTTTTCCAAAACTTCCTCATTTTGGTCCAACGTTCCCATGCCTTGCCTGTGCTAAATCAACTCTGGGGAGAAGAAACTGGAAAAAAAATCCCTTTAACCAATTCTGAGGTATGACAAAATGAGAAAAAAAATCATACTTCCTTCATCTATATTATTATTTTTGTCTTTGAAAGAACAAGCAAAATTTGGAACATTTCCCACAAGTACAAGATAATTATCTCATAGGGGATTTTACCAAAATATTTGAAGGGTAATGTTTAGCTAGGCTATTACCACAAATAATAATGAAAATTAGTTTAGAGGTGGGAAAAAAAAGGTAACATTTTAGTTATTTTCCCCTTAAAATAAAATAACATCAAAATCTATACTGCATGAGAATGCCATGTGAGACATCCCATGCTTGTCCTGGGCAAACTGCTACTTCTGTAGTCACAGCCCCGCATGTATATGAGCAGCTCACACCCTGGAAGCAGGGCATGGTATCAGGGCAATGCTGATGCTGGACTAACTGGCAGCCTCGTCAGCAGTTCATGGTGTTTCTGCTTCGAACTGCAGCTCCCCTGGCAGCAGGCTCAGTACATGGGCCCGCCACCGCGTCGTACTGTGCTGTGGAGTTCATGTGGAGAATGATTTTGGTGAACAACAGATGACCAAGTTAAATAGAACAAAACATGCTTTCTTACACAAAGTTAGTTCCTTTCCTCTCAAAATAATGTAATGTTAGCACATTACGTAATTACGAATTCTACTAAGGTCCCTTCATTGGCTGACATTTCTGGTGTACAGCAAGCAAGGATGGCAGAAAGACTGATAAAGGAAACCGCAATTATAAGTAACAGTGCAAGGGAGGAGAAGGGAAAAGCCTGGAAAGACTCCAGAGATGAGACGTGAGATGGACTTTTGGGGACTTCTCATTGCCTCTAGTAAGTCTTTTCTGTGCATCTCAGTCATCAAGTACAAAAACAAGCATTAAAACCTACAGCAGTGTTATAAAAGTACCTTTCACAATTAAGAGCTTTTTGCGTAGTGGTGAGTTTCCTTATGTATGTTAACATACATAAGGAAAGTAATTTTGCCAGTAATTTGCCAGTAATTTTGAAACCAGTGCTGGTTTCGACCAGTTTTATAAAATAATTCTGAGGCTGTAGTTTGAACAGCAAGAATAAAATCCAGATGTTTTTCATATGGATACTACTATTACGCACAGTTAGTAAGGTGGTAGTTCCAGAAGGCAGGAAGGTTTCCTATATAACACCATGGTTAAAATTTGCATCTTCATAAACAAACGCAAGAGTAAAAATTAAAATTATCTTTTTTTTTTTTTTTTTTTTTTTTTGGTGCACAACTACAAAACCGTAACAAATGCTATTTGGGGGCAATTTTATCCTAGGTTATCATCTTTTGATTGAACATAGCAATTATGAAGTCCTTAGCAGTAAAAACAAATGTATATTTCAAGCAGACATTTAAGTTTAAAAAAGGCTTTATCAAAAACTTTCCCAGAAATGTTAAAATACTTAATCATATGTACTTTTACAGTAAATTGAAGTGTAATAAAATTATATTAAAAAGGGCCAAATTTTAACAGTTTACAGAAAACACCATACATGTTACATTAAATAGGTTTTTTTTGCAATGTTAAGGTAGATACAGACAGGAATACTGGAACATCTACTTACATTCACACTGTATCACATCTAAATTAAACTGCTGAATTGCTCCCATGCTTATTTGTTTTAATTCACTGTCCAGTAGCATCTGCATTAGGGATGTGGAGAGATGCTGGCAGGCTGACATGCAAGCTGTCTGGGCCACCTTTCCCTAATAGAGAGACCAACAAATTTTAGGACAGAAGCAAATGATACAGCACTGAAGAACAGCTTATCTGATGTGATTTTGTAATACATTCAAAGTCTTAATGATGCAGCACTTAGAAGAACAGCGATCAGACTTTCTGTTATTTCTTAGATGAGTGTTTCTGTTATTTCTTTGACATGTTACCTTTGGCTCTCTTACACCAACTGGGGAGTTGAAATTGAAAGAGTTTTCAAACAATTACTGCTATATCTTCCAGATTTATATCTGACAGTCTTCAAAAATACAGATATGCTTCCAAATGTGAAAGAGCATAATGAGAACATAAGCTGCTGAAGCAGGTGAACAACTTGGTGGATTTCTTCTACCCGAACAGAATGAAAGCAAGAATGGAAATCAATATGCTGCATATGTTTCACGACAACCAGTAAAAAATAAAACAAATATCTTCATATAAAACCAAACCATTGCTTTCAGTTAGGACATTTCTTTTAACAGCTTGTGCTAATTATTGCACCTAATTGTTAGAATTGCACCTAAAAACTTGCTGCTAAATCATTTAAAATATTCAAGTTATTCCCACGTCCTTTCAGGTATTTAAAAGCTAGTAATGAACTATTTGCAAAACAAAATATAGCCCTCTGCTGTATAGCACAGAAATAATTTTCCTATCAAAATCTAGTTATTAACATTCCTCTTCACAATGTGTGATTGAAACAGTCACTTTTTGAAGACTAAGATCAATAAAACACAGCATGAAATCAGCTATTAATCTGCTCAATCATTAAAATTTAATTGAAGTTTAAAAAATTGAAAATATTTCCATATAAAGCAAACCAGTGAAGACCAGATACACGATTAGATGGCAACACTATTCATAATGCTGCAGTCTCTTAGAGCGTGGAGATCTTGGCTTTTAATGCAGTTACATGATTCTCTGTATATCTAGTAACCATGCTTTTCAAGTGGGTTATATATTATAATATCCATTAATACATGGGGTAATTATTAGTATTCTTATATGAAAAAATATAGTTATTTAATGTATCTACTGGAGCGCAAACCACTATTATTTTACTTTTATGCATTAGTAAAGTGATGACACCTGTTCTCTAAAGCAATGGTTCCCCAACTGTTTTCTGTAAAGTCAGGATGATCAAGTGGATCACAGAAACACATAATAAATAAGCAGTGATTTCAAATAAGAGTTGGATGATAAAGATGTGTATGGATCGGTGAAAAATGAGGGAATTCCCTGCTCCAAAAAGTTAGGAAAGTTCTGGTCTACAATCCAAAGGACTAGATCTTGCCCTAAATAAGACAACATGCTCATGTCATTTAATTTTGATGTGCATATAATGCACAAATACAGTTTTGTACTTTTAAAACTATTTGCTATAATGCACACCATTAAAATGTAGGCAATATAATGCAAAATGTTCATTTTCTTCACATGTCAAACTGAAACATTAGATGATCTTTGCTAATACCTCCTTAGCATTAACACACCTTGAGCTGTAAAGAGCTTCATATCTAAAATGTCAGTTCCTTAATTGAAAAATCTCAGAAAAGCAAGTAACATTTTTGACCAAAACAGATGAACTGACAACAAGGAATGTAGGAAACAATGCAAGAACAGCATGCCTAAAAGTCTCCCAAACCCAATGGTAATTACACTGGGAGACATGCAGCTCTATTCCCCGAGCAGAACAATATCAATATGAATGGCAAAAAAAAAAAAAGGGGGGGAAGGCAGAAAAAGGGGGGTGATGAGGAGAAATCAATGGGCCATAGTTCATTTAATTACAATGTAGTAGGTTTGAAATACTTAATGGAAATGTCATTTTGATTTAATGGAACAACTAGTGCATTTCAGTTTAATGTACTGCTCCATCAAATCAGCTCCATGTCCTATTTATGGTGCCACTATAATGTAATAAAAGTTCAAGCAGATTAATAGGTTGTCAAAAAAAATTTTAACGTTCAATTTATTTTATATGCAAACAAAGTGTACTCCACTATTATTACAAATAAAAGACAGAATTTTATCTTTATGGTAAGCATCTGTTCTTAATTGTTACAGTCTGGCAAATATCAATAGTACTGGAGCACAAGATAATGGTTACAAAACAGAAATGAGACGGGAATAGTCATCGGGACTTTACGTAAGTATCAATATTTGAACATGTAATGCTTATTTAAAAATGTCATTAAATGGAAACATCCTTTTTTTTTAACTATTTCCAACTATGCAACTTGAACTACAGGCTTATTGTTCACTTGATACATCAAGAAATAATATAAGTTAACTATATATAATGTTTACTTAATAGGATGATTTGATTTTTGTAAAACTATGGAAAAATGAAACAAATCTATGAAGTTTATATCTTTTTAAAAGCTATAACTTCTAAAAACATAAACTTTACTGTTATTCTCAAAATTCAGTGCTTCCAAGTTCAAAATACGTTGGATGTACAACATTTAGAAAAGAATGAAGAAAAAGTATTTCTTCAAAATCATGGAAGGCCACTTCAAACTAATGCTTGACAAATGAGTTCTAACTAAATATCCCCTGAAGTCTCTACCATCTACCAAGTAATCAATTATTTGCCTTTTTTTCCCACAATGCATTTTGAAGAGAAAAAAAGGCAAAGACTTGTGAAAATGCTAACATGATGTTTCTTTTCCAGAAAGAAACAAGTCTCAGCTAGTTTTAAAGCTAAGACATTCTTAATAGTCAGGGTTTGTCAGCTGTTCTTTTTAGAGAGGGTGGCAACAGTTGCTCTATCTAGCAATTAAATAGGGATATTCAGTAGCACGCAGAGATTCAGCAGCCCTCCCGCATTCATTCCAGTATCGCCTCCCATTTGGCCACGCTGCTATTATCTCCTCTGCGCCTACGTTAATTGCTGCTATCCACAAAACCTTTTCTTCCACCCAGCCAATGTAAAAGTTTAGGAAACAAGGACCCTATTCTATAAGCAAAAACACCTGCTAACAGTGTTAAAGGCAATTTTTTTTTTTTTTAAACCCAGCCTCCACATTTTGCTGAAATACAAGTTTGTAAGAAGAGAAAACCCTGAGACAAACTTCTTATATTTCAAAGGAGCCTGCAAAGAGAATCTGCTGACATATTAAATCCCTTTTTATAGGGCCCAAAAGCTTTTCTCCTAAGAACAATTGTGGTAAAGAGACATTTGGCTCCTAGGAAATTCCCAAAGGGTCAGCCATATGCATCCTTCCATGGCACCTTCACGGTCCTGCTTTCTAAGACCCACGCTAGCTGTCTCAAAAGCAGCTTTCATCATTCACTATGGTGTCAGTCAATATGATTTATGGACTGCATTCAGCAAAGTCAAGGCATATAGAATGAGAAATATGACTACAATCTGCTAATTTGTTTTGTATTGAGCCACTTAAGAGTCAAAGACCTGATGTCAGGCTGAGACCAGCAACACAATTAACCGGCCGGTGACAGATTCATCCATCCTCCCTGCCAGGCTGTGCCAATCAAAGACAGCATGAAGCGGCATTTAGAGAAATAACTAAGAAAACCCATTCTCTAAGTAGCCTGTGGAGGCTTCTGATTGACAGTTTTTGAATATAGCTGCAGAAAACCACCACCCCCTCACCCTCAGTGCAAGTTGTGAAATTAGGCTTTTACTGCCAATCACAGAAACAATAAAATAACACAAACTGCCATCCTCAGCATAAAAGGAAATAACTAAACTTAGATGTTAAAGCTAATAAGCTTAAGAATTAATTTAACAATATGAAGTGACGGAAGCAACCAAAAGCTTCCTGCAAAGAAACTAAACATACAGATTTCACCAGTCATTATAAATAAAACATGTTTTTTGCTTAACAACATGACTAAAATCCAACTTTTATATTACAGATAGAAACCAGGAATATTAAAAAATACTGATGATTTTTTTAGGATTTACGTTTACTTTCACTTCTGTAATTTTGCCCCAAATTCCCAAGTGGCAATTTGCAAACAGTCACAAATACCTAGCTGAAAGTAATCTGTAATTCTTTTTGTATCTAGGATTCTATCTAGGAAGAGTAAATTTAGATTGCATGCTTAAAAAAAAACAACTAAGAAACTGTGAAAACAATCAAAAAACAAAAGGAAGTTGGAAAGTAAGAATGATACTATTTTTTTGTACATCCAATGTATTTTTTGGCACTCAGGAAGAAAATCCATGACATAAAGGATGATGTTCAACTTTATAGATGCTCCCTACATACTCCAACACAAACTACTTCGGATCCACACTCATCTTCCTTGGAAATTAGGGTAATAAGAATCTCTCTTTCTTTGTGACATCTAGTTGTAAGTGGGCTGTGCTATTTTCAAAACAATCTATTTGTCTTGATGCTGGGTTCTGAACTGCACTATGGATAAATACAGTAATTGAAGCAGCCTATGTCACTATTGCAAAACATGGCAAGAAAACCCAGACAACAACACTGATCTTACTATTGTCTCTTGAAATTAATATACTTGGCTTTAGTTCTATATAATTACTTTACTACTATGTAACTACTAACTCCTGCTATAACTTTTGGTAGTTTATTGTAACTATCAACAACTGATTTAATATAGATTGGCGCTTTTACTTGTAGGACAGAATGACCACACTGTATTTGTTCACCTTTTAAGTTTACGCTTTTTTGAATGCAAGACTATGAGAACAGATCTGTGCACGAGCTAGATACTAAATTCCAAAGCTGCTGCCCAAATCAGTACCATTAAATTAAAATTAACAATAATTAAACTTTTTTCCCTTGAGAAAATACAATTTTAAGTATAAAAAAATACATCTTACATAATATCAATCCCAACACTTTCTCCAGTATAAGTACCTTATACATTTGTTCATTTTAAAAATGAATGTATGGGTCAACCACATAGAAGTTGGTAAACTGAAATTATACATTCTCATAAAATTAGGAAAAATTGGTTCAGAAATTCCATAATCAGAAGTCACTCCTAACAGGACAGTATAAATTTCAACATTCTCAGCATTCATTCATTTCAGCATTCATGGAAATGCTTCTGCTGAATCAAAATAAACTGTTTATGCAAAAATTGGTGACTTGCAAATAATCATGGCTTAGAATAATTCTTAAATGCAATCCATCATCTTCTAAAAAACAAAAACTACTTGAATGCAGACATTCCCTTGACCCTAGGCAGATGCAGCACAGGATCAATGCAACTTTCACAGAATCTCTGATTTTTTGGATTCCCCATACTCTGTATGCATGTCTCAGAGTTGCATTTTTGATACCTGACCTCGCTTTCAAAAGGTCTCCTGGTGTAGGGTGTGCTCATGGTGCACACCCTACCGAGCTCCCACATATTTTTAGGACTCCTGCTGTCCCAGTGTACAGAAGACCAAGGTTAGTCACCAACTTGATTCCTGCATGCAATCACACACGGGACGCAGCAAGTCACCAGCAAACAGAAGGGCCTTTTTTATTAATTGCCTAAATATGGAAGCAATAAGCCTGCAGGCAGTTCATAGTTTTTCAGTTCACATGCTTTTTCTTCATCTTGCATCTACTTACCGACATAGCTGCATGGTCATTGTTGTTATTCTGAGAAGGAAACCAGTAAGGCAATCAAAACAAAAAATTAAGATGTACTGTCAACTTCAAAAAATAAAAAAAAGAATAAAAAAATTGGTAGCAATAAAAGGTAAGAAAAAGCTTCCAAAAATAATAAAAGTATCTACACAATTCCTTTAAAAATATTTGTTAGCATATGAACTATTTCAAGGCACACTAAAGAAATCAGAGTTGAAATAATACCAATTTGGCAGTAAAATGTTTTACTATGGTAAGGAAGTGTATGCCATAATATCAAAGTAGCAAATTCCATATGTAGAAACATTTTCCAATTTGACTTTCAAACAAGTTTCCATTATAATTATTACTATATTCTAAAATACTAAAGAAGTCTCTTTTCCTGCATTGGTTTACAAAGGCTACAGTTATGTTACCAACATACCTCATTTAGACAAGACTTAGCAATGGCTTAGGGAAACAAAAAGCTCAATGCATTATGACCCACTAACATCTTTTTAATATAAATCTAATGTTAATATAACTGGAGAGTGGAATGACACTCCTTTATCAAAACTGCTGAAGTTCAGTACACAAATAGAGAGGAGAGAACTAAAATGGAGGACACAGAAGGAAAAAAAATGCTTTAGAGGCACAAGATGTTTGAAACGACTCCATGGAGATATGAGCCCAACTAACTTGCATCACAAAGCAAGCGGGTTCAGAAAAATTAAGATCATAGTCTACCTTATTTAGACTTCTTATGTTCTAATAAAAATAACATACTTTTCATAAAGCGGATACTTGAAATAAGAGATACTTTTTAAAATTATGCCTACATTGGTATATAACTACCTCCCAGCCCACATGGAAATATACGTATACAAAGAGATGCACCCTTGGGTGCTTACATAGCTTACATAAATAAAAGAGGATAAAACAGGCACCCAACAATCCCAAAGAACATACCATAGCTTTTCAACAAGATGACTAGTCTGAGACAACATCAAACAGTCAATGATCCTTGCTTGAGCAAGGGGCAAGCCAAGCACTGGGGCAAACTAGTTGTGTCCCTCACCTTAGAAGAGCACCTGCTAACACGATTGCCTACACCAAGTGGGGAGGAAAGGGGGGGCCTCCACCTGTCCAACCCTCCTCCTTACTAAAACCATGCCTAAAGACCAGGACTTGCGCACTTCGATCTCTAATTACAGACAAGGTCTTAAGAAATTTATGAATAATACCATATATGCCAGCTATATCAAAGTTGTCAGAAAAATGACATTGTGGCATTTTCATTCCATGATGAAAATGACCAATAATACTATTCCGAATCTTAGCTATGACATGTGATAGTCTAGTTTTGCTTAGGACACCAAAAGCAGTCAGATACGGAAAATAGTTCTGGGATTCTATCCCAGAACATTCGAAAACACCTTTATAAATAACTATGAAGATAACTATTACAAATCTAACTGAAATCACCATAATGAAACTCTAAATACATTTTCATGTAATTTCCACATTCATGCACAACAACATTCACAGGACTGTAGGCTTCTATAGACAGTCAAGCCAAAATAGCAATATGTGGGAGAAATAAAATTTTGCAATAATCCTCTTTCCATACCAGACTTATCTGGTTAAGACTAAATGCAAGAAAAGGCAAAATCTGAAATGAAAGAATAATCTCTTCACAGGGCCTTTGTTAATGGAAGTCCATGTTTCACATCTCCACATTCATAATGACATTATATGGTATATTCAGAGTCAGCTATGTGCTTGAATCAGTAAAAATAAACAAATAAAGTAAAAAAATCATAGCCACTTGACAAATGATTCAGAACACCAGATAAGCCCCCAAGGCAGCAACTTCAATATCTTGTTCTTATATAAAGCCCTTTTTCTGAAAGCTATATTTTTACCAAATACTTTGTTAAACTATACAGCTGTGCTGTAACAGCACATGAAGAAAATACCTTTGACTTTAAGTCTGAAGCCTCAAAACATTCTGCGTGTTGAGAACTTACTCTCTAGGAGAGGTGAATGTGAGCAGCGTGACAAAAATAAAAAGTACACTAGTGAAAAACAGATGTACCTTCCATGACTCATTGAAATTTGTGCAGATCTACACAGGTATAAAGTATTGTGAAGATAACTTAAACTAGAACATATTTTCTGTCTTCAAGAGGGGAAATTAGACAACAGAAAGTAACAATAAGCACATAAACAGGTTAACAACACCCTTTACCCAGGACAGAATAACAAAAGATATATACAAACATGAATGAAGATTCATTTCACGGAAACTCAGTTTACTAAAATTAAATCTCTTTTTACAATCAGAACAACTCAATTGAAGACAACCTTGGAGAATATGCGAGTCCTCCAGGATCTCACGCACGACTCGAGAGCTTGCATTAAATTCTGTATTCTTTGAATCAATGAATGCATACACAGAAGCAACATGGTTAATTAAAAAGGCCACTCTCAGGTAGTCTGCTCTTGCTTGCTCTAGAAAACTGAAGTCTTACCGTAAGTAATTTAGCCGTTGTTAATTACATTACCAAAGTATTTGAAAGTATTTTTCAAAATATGAATATCAATATTAATGCTGAAAAAATATATCTGCCAGCTCATGCACAAAATAAAATATCATATCTTTCTGCTATTATACTAGCTTCATGGCTATTTTAATTTTTAAAATCTTAATACTTAAAGATAATATAACGTGCCAATAGCTTTAAATTAAACAATTTTGACCACTTACAGGCAAATGAGTAAAAACTTGAAATGTGCTTCTTAAAAAGTTAATAAGGTCCATTAGGTATCCACTGGCTCTTCCATCCGATTCAGACATTGTCCAATCATAATCAGCAATCTGAATAAATTCATCTATTTTTTGGTTAAGTTTGGTGTATATCTCTCCTTCTGCACCATGTCTTGCATCCTGAAATAAATAGCACACAATTACCACAGTTCTAAAACGTTATTAAAAGGCAGAATAATTATGTTCATCAATGAAGTCAGACATGTGTTTTTCTCCCAATTAAAAAAAAAAATCTTAAAATGTATATGCCTGTAAATTATAAAAATCATGCCTGTAAATGCATACTATACGAGTGTTTGTAACAAAACATGCCTACAGAGCCACCTAAGTTTACAGAGATAAATGAAATGCACTTGAATTTGTAATCAAATAAACTGCTTTACCCTCCTTCACAGAAATCACCATTGATTTGGCCTTGCAAATTTACCGACATTGAAACAAAGTTTATTTTCCCTTTTATACAGAAAAAAACAACAACAATAACAACAAAATTTATCTGTCATGGCTGGAGGTCCAGCAAGCATAGGATTTTTAGGTCTAATTGATGTCTTCAATTTGCACATCTGAAGAATACTTATGTCTTTACATCCTTCCTTAAATATGATGATACCACAGCGCAATTCGAGCACTCCCCTAAAACCCTTCTCATTCCTCTTTCTGTTCTGCCACCACCCAGACTCTGTTCTGCAGGAACAAGAGACACAGAAATTACCTGCCCAGAGGTAAAGTATAACATTTACTGCAAAGAGAGTCTACTATATTATCTTCCTCATTTATTTAGAACCATTCCTCACAGATACATTGGGATTGGGTTATGCTTGATGAGGGGTCTCTTGCCAGGAAAGTTACTTTTGTCAGCCTGGAATTTAATGATGTTTGTCAAATTCTCTGCTCTAAGTTAGTCTCAAGGTAAAACTTTCTTCACTGACCTTGAGAAAGACCTCAAGAAAGAGGTATCATTAGAATGGGTTGCTCACATTCTAGTTGGGTATACTAGAAAAACTCAAAAGTGGGTGAAATCCCCATTCTTAGCTTCCTCTGGGTAAAAGCAGTCTAAAATCACAGCAGTTCAGGCAACACAAATACTAAAGGTAAAAGGAACTAAACCTACAAGTGGCATCAGATTGTGTGTGTGAAATTCAACCTTCAGCCACATCTCAGTCTGGGAGGCACTTGAAGAAATGAACAGGTCTATAGACCTGCCACATAGAGATGTCAGAGGAGGTTTCCCTAAAAATGGCAGTTTTATGGCCAAGCCAACCTGTAAAAACCTCTAATAAACAGCTCACCTAATCTGGCATGTAAGAATCTAATAACCTGTTAAAATGTTACACAAACGAATACACTGACATTTAGGGTTTCATAGATGGCTATGTCTGCAAAAGTTTCAAAAAGAGATAAGCTGTTGTTTAACTTTATAATTATTTATAAGACTTAGGTTTCCATATTCTATAATGATGTGACCTATAAATAAAAAAGGTAATAAAAAGAACAGAAAAAAAACTCAGACATTTCGGAGTGGTTGCAGCATTTTATCAGCTATTGTTTTCCAATAACTGATAGAGACAGGATTAGTTCCTCAGGTTCTGCTTCTGGAAGCCTGTTTTTGACTATCTGTTATTTTGCTTTGGTTACTGGGATACAATAGGAGCAGTGTGGCAATACTGTGAATGAAGAGATCTGAATGTTTCCGTGAGGTAACTATTAAATTGACTAAAATTGGATTTGAAACCCAAAAGAGACTTTTGAGAAGCAGTATTGTGAATCCCACTGCACAAGTCATGAAAGGGTGAATTAGCCCTTCCCGTTTAGATTTGGGATGACTCCTAGAAGGAGAGAAATCCCAGGATCTCTCCTTTTAACTTGGGACAGACTGCTATCAGGAAACTTTAGAAAGCTCACAGACTTTCCCCCTGGATAGGGAAAATGAGGCTGTTTTGTTCAAAAGCTTCTTTCTCAGAGAAAAAGTAGGTTTGGAAACAGTTATTCTATTCTCATGGGCACCAGATTTAGCCCAGCACAGGATCCCATGCTGTGTGTCTGGCTCTTCAACAGTCTTTACACGGCTTAATGCCGAGATACAGATTTCAAAAACTTCTACCAGCTAGACCTGCAGTTACATCTGTTTATGCTTAGCCTGAGTGCTGATTGAAAAAATATATGAAAAAGATGGTATCCATATCTTCAGCTATCCAAAGTCAGAAAACATGACTATAATATTGAAAGCTACACAATTTTATATGATGAAATGAATCTTTTTTTTTTTAAGCCTTCACCCATGTGAAACAGTACTTAGTATTTGAATGTCATCTTAAGATGTGATTTTATATACAATAACAAAATGGAAAAAGTAGCTCTCTAAAAAAATGGCCATGAAATAAGTCTGAAGGCTTCTATTAAAAAACAGTCAAGATGTATTTCTAAGATCACCTCCTGGGGTGAATGTGAATGGGATTATCAGCTAACTGCTAACAAAAAGAAATGTTTGACCATTCAAAAAGAATGAAGGTGACATGATTTGCCACCAGAAGCTGTAATTAATAACAGCAGAACATACCGAACTCTCTAAGAGCCCTGCTGGGGAACTGCACACAATTTTTCATTAAAACAAAGGCAAAAAGGGAGGATTCATGAGAAAATGATTTTTTACCGTGAGTAGAGCATATTGTGCGAACATTCAGGGAGAGAGAAAGGAGGATAAGGAGAGAAACCATAACATTTGTATGCATTTGTACCCATTCATTCTCTATTTTGCAAAGCTGCTGTATAACACAGACCAAGCACCTAGCCAGTGGGGTAAGATATAGCTATCTGAATAAACCCTTATTGATGGCATATGGATTACCATTACTAGCCTTTGATGAAAACACTGAAAGCAGGACACCAAGTTACTGCCTACACATAACCTCAAAAATCATTTAAACCAAGATAATTACTAAATTTGCACATAGCCTTGTACAGATTTTAAGACAAGATGATGAAGTGATAAGAAGTGGGTAAAGAAAAACAAATGATCAAAGCCTCCTTTGTGTTATGACAACATACAAAAAGCCAAAGCAGAAGTTTTAAAAGAAATACAATGATTTCTTCCACAAGATGAAAACAAATTAAAGTTGATGTTAATTAAATGTATTCTGCTACTTAGGTTCATTCAGAAACTAGAGGAAGACAAAACTTGCAGAATTTATAGAATCCTTAAACCTAATCCATAGCATGAGATACAAGCACAAAATGTAATGCAAATTTTAAACTGTGTTTATCAGACAATATTGAAGGACAAACCAGCTCTCGACGCTTAATGAAATGAAAGAGGATAGCTGCACTCATCGGTTTGTTTTGAATGTTAAAGAATATGGATTGACCTTAAAGGAAAATATCTACAAACATATTCATTCACACACATGCTCTATAGGCAGACCACAAGCAAATTTGGCAATGGAAATTTAAAGGACAAAGTGAAATTAGTGAAAATACACTAACGGGGCAATAGTAGCCTAACTACAGTTCCCAGGCCAGAACCTTTCCAGCTTGTCTTCTTCATTAAATCCCTAGCAAAACAAATGACAATTAACGAGAAAATTGATGACAATCAACTGGAAAATATAAAATATAAATACTGCAATAATCTCTTATTCCACCTCACCCACCTTTTAAAATCTATGCCAGAGGGGATGTTATAACAGGATAAGCTATGTCTTGTATCATGGGGAAAAAAAATGAAGTGCAGAAAATAGAACTACTCTCAATAGGACTAGTCTTCCTTATTCCATAAATGCAAGAAACCACCTTATTTTGTTTCAGTGTACACTGAAAAAAAAAAAAAAGAAAAAAGAAAAAAGAAAAAACAACTTGAATACTTAGAGTTCAAGTTACAACTGCTTTGGAATCCTATATGACTTCATTTTTTATTTTCTTTTTTTCTCTTCCAAAAATATCTATATAGAAGCCCTAACAGATGTAGCAGGCAAGCAGTGGCTGGATTAACTGCACAACGTGACCTGTACAAGAATATTGTTCCACTGTTATTCTAGAAAACTCTTTGCTAGTTTTAATTAACAAGCCTATACATTGACGGATCTTGTTTTACATGGCATTATAACCCATATGAAATATGTTTCACTTGAGATGACATCTGCTCAGAGTCACTCTACTGGACCGAGTACTGTGTCCAGCTGGGTTACTCAGCCCAAGGAAAGGGCACTGAGCAGCCGGAGGGAGTGCAGGGGAGCGCAGGCAAAAAGGTGTGAGGGCTGCAGCACCCAACATGTCAGCAGGGGCTGTAGGATTTCGACTGTTTAGTCCAAAGAAAAGAAACCAGAAGGGATGAGCTAATTGCTTCCCTCAGCTTCCTAATGGGCGAGTGTAGAGAGGATGAGGTCTGGAGGAGCGCAGTAAAAGGGCAGAGGCAACGGTCACAAGCTGAGGCTGGCTGGGTTCCCACAAGATCTAGACCTTTATTTGGGACACTTTTGTCACCTACTTTGATTTCCCCATCTGAACATTATTCCCATCTCACCTGGAATTCCATGTGAAGACAAAATACTGCCCATATAATACAATTTCTTATACAATAATTCTTAACTGACAACCAGTTTCTGGAACAGATCCTACAAATATCTAGGACTACTTTACACATTGCTTTGAAGCTAAGTTGAATTTTTTCTCTTAGTTTTCTTTCAATTTTCTTTAAAAAATGTGAGGACTTTTATAAAGTTCTAGAAGTGATACTGTAATTTGGGGAATTCTGAACAACAGATCTCTGTATACATCATTAACTTCAAGTATTTTCATTTAGATTACTGTATAATAGTTCCTGTTATGCAAAAAATACATGGTAATTAAAAACAAACACATAGCAAGAAGAACCGATGATGAAGGTACAGAAGTAGGGTAGCTTAAGAAGAAATAAACATAAACATTAATATAACATTTATGTTGACATAAACAGAATTCTACTAATCATCATAAGCATCTCAAAAATGAATCAACGGATATATAAATCACTCAGACTGTATCTGTGTATAATAGGATTATTATTCATACATCCAAAGCATGACATTTTAATTTATATGACCAAATAATTACCAAGGAAAGAAATTACTTAAATGGTAAACATGTCAGGATATGAATGGATAAATACATTATGAATATAGGTTCACTTAACTTCCGCACATTTTACAAAAATTGTGTTTAAGACAAAAATTGCACAGGGTAATACTTAGACGTGGTTTAAAAACATATAGGACAAACCGCAGAGCAATAGGACAGATAAAACTAAAATCTTTTGCTTAATTTTCTACACAAATCATTAGTTAAAACAACTTGACCTTACAGCCCATATCAATAATTGTGACAAAGTTTATGGGGCAGATGTAGCACCTCTCATTAGACCAAAATACATAACTGGGAATTTTTTAAAAGGACAAGGTTTCAGTCCTAGAAATCCTCCTCCAAAGTCCAAAAGCTTTGAGGGGGTTTTTTTGTTGCTTTTTTTTTTTTTTTTTTAATCTCTGCTTATGCAAAGCACTAGTACCTACATCTCTATGTGAGATTTCTTCCCAAAGAAAAAATCCCAAATCACATCCATTTTTTTCTAATGTAAACCAAAAATGCCATTCTGCCTGGAGTAGGCCTGGGAAGCAATTTCTGCCATGCTTGCTGTGGATGCGCTTTCAGATCACCCCAGCACAAGGGACCTGAAACCCACCCCGCGCCCTCAGAGAGCTCTGGCCATTTGTTAAGGTGGAGTTGGAATAAAATACTAGTGTCCTGGACACAACTTTCATCCTTATAATATAAAATTGACTTTGATCACAATTCTAACACCTGGAAGGAATAGGAGTCAACATGTTCATTATCTATACAGATTTGCTATTGCGAACAATTTATTACACTTTAAAAACCATTTTACAATGGACTATATTAGAAAGAGGTTAAGTGACTTATTTCTGAGTCATGAGCCAGTGGCACACTTGGAAGAAGAGTGCAGTTCCTTGCAGTGCCAGCCCAGTGCTCCTCTGGTGCTGCTAGCAGTGCTCGAGAGACTCACTGGAAATGTTGGATTTGAACACAAAAAGATGAAGAACTTGGAGGGACATCAACAAAAGGAAAAAAAAGAAGGACTAACAAATAAAAGGTAAAGGGGGATAGGAATTAAAAGTGTGAGCTAAAGGGAAGAGAGGCAGGCAAAGAAGGGGTAGGGCAAGAGGCTTCTGTCAATAGCAAACCTACAATTACTGATTGTCAACACTGATTTATCTGAGGGAACAGCTTGTCAATGTGGTAATAGGTGGTTCACATCCAGGATAACAGCCCATCCCTGCCCTGAACCTCTACGTGGGCAGCAGGCACTGCTCCGAGCTCCTACTCTGCTCTCATGCCAGGTTAATACAACTCTCCCTAATGCGAAAACAGATTTCAATTCCTTTTTCCTTTTTCTTTTTTTTTTTTTTTCTTTTTTTTTTTTTTTTTTTTTTTTGATACTGACTAAAAGCTATGTTATAAGCACACAAGAAGGTAAAATTGATGAATGGAAAAAAAAATACATATTGCACCATTGCACCAGTTTATTATCTTGCTAGGAACAGCTCCTTTTTTGTCCTATAAGACAAATATTTGTGCTTCCATATGGCAATCACTTATAGGTTTACTTTCTGAATAGGCAATTTTGAAGATTATGATCTTCTCATCCATTCAGTCATGTACATGCAACTCTCATCAGCTTAGGAAACAACACCCTCCTCCAGGTTCTTCCCCCTGCTACTCAGCTCTAATGTATATATTTATTTATAGGACATGGTGAAAAATACGGCTCTGAAAATACAATTCTGTATGTTTGGTGTCACTTTTACGTTATGCATTACTAGGCGACTATTTGAATATGTAACAACAATTTCTATTTTATAATAAAAGCAAACAAAATACTTTGATGTATTTTAGATTACTGGTAGTTTGGTTTGATTCTATTCACAAATGGAAAATACTACATGATTTGGAGCTTAGTCTATAAAAGCTTTTAGTGAAGTTAGGTTCATTTTGTAACAATAAAAGATCATAACATGTCTGGAAGAGAACATCAGTGTATCTGATGTACTGATATATTTCAAATCATTCTGATAATATGAAAAAGTGCTTATCTGCTGAGTGTTGAATTTTAATTCTCATCAGTTCAGAATATTTTAACATCAAAGTGAGAAAATGTGCGATTTCCCTTCTTTTTGTTTTTAAAGTACTTCTAGTGATTTTTATACAAATTTTCAGACATGATAATTTTAAGGATGACATCTATCATACCTTAAATGTAGAAAGTCCATAAAGTCTTGCAGTGTGAACAGTCACCTGGGAAACACTCGTAATGTTAGTTATAAAATCCTCAAGGTATTTACAGGCTTGTTCCAGGTGTGTTGTGTTTATGATGATTTGAACAAGCTACGAGACACACAAAAAAATCCCATTAAGTGACTTTTTATATCACCCATTGTCACTTGATTTTTTTCTAGCATTATTACTGCTTTCAGCACCAGTTTTACTACAAATTAATTACCGTATTTCAAGTTACCACTTAACAACTTCATATTTTTAAAGTTAGCTTCTAAATATCAGAATTTACACACACATTATAGCATTTTAAAAAATGAGAACTGCAACAACCTACCCAGTGAAATAACTTGATATTTTAGAAATAAAAATGGAAAATAAAGAAAAGGCATCACTTATTCCAAACCATTGAAAAAAAAAGAATCAAATTACCACAATTAAGAAGACTTTTACTAACAGAAGTATCTGTTTAGTAAAGCATTCTTAGGTTAGGAAATTTCAAAAATAAGGCTGTCAATGCTTTTAAAAAAACAATGATAACAATCTGCTACTATATGACATCCATCTTTTTACAAGGAGGACATTCACTCATAATTTATGGACCACATATACTGGACAGTAACTAAAACATCAGTACACCATTTCTTAAATTATTACTGTACACTGGCTCCAATACTGTTGTAGTGAACACTATTGAAATGCTTCTCTTTCAAACATTTTTCTTTCATAAAGCATATTGCCTTGACAACTAAATACCTTAAAAAATTAATAAATTTATTTTCATATCCTTCCAATTTTCTGCCACCACTTTCAAAAAAATGTAAAGAACTACAGCTCTGCAAAACTGCATACATTCACTACATATATTCACATGGCAATATATGATTTACAAAGATATTTCTTCATCTACTTTTTGATTTCACCTAGATAAGTGAATCTTGTAGTTTAAAAACAGCATTTAATATGGTCTAGCACAGCTCTACTGGCTACTGTTTAATTCCTCCTCAGTAGTATTAGGCATCATCTTGCAGTGGGTATCTGCCGACTGCAGGAACGTTCACAGCGTAACGCCTTAGCCCTTCTTATTCTGTCGAGTAAACCCAATGAGGCAAAAGTCCTGACACAGAAACAATGTGCACAAAGCTACCCCAATATTTTAATATAATTAATATTTTAAAAAGAAGTTGCATGTGTTAGAGTGGACTTCAGACTTCTGATTTCTTAATCTGGCAGCTTCATGTGAGGGAGATTTTCTTCCCCTCATCTTCTCCCGGGAGACAAATAAACCCAACAACATCCTAATACTTGCTAAACAGGAACAGAGCACACTGAACCATGCACTACATGCAGCCTGAGAAACAGGAGACTTAAGCTAATTCCCTACAAGCCCTTGTTTGTCACGGAGGAGACAGAGCACTGTCACATCGTGTGCAGCATACACATACTCCAACCAGACCCAACAGTCTAGTGCTACCATTTCTGTAAGAGAATACTTCCAAATATTGCTGCCTTTCCCCATGTCATCTTTCATCTCTGCAAATCTTCAGTTTTGAAGCAAATGCTACTTTTTTTCTTGCACAAATTTTAATACTACACTATGCCTACATTTATAAGAATACGCTTAGTACCGTCTAAAAAAACAGAGTTTTGTGTATGTATTTCAAAACTTACCTCTGTTAAACCTATGTGAGGTTTTTTAATTAGGTTCTGTAAGCAACTACTTAGAGTTCTGGTTAGCAGCAAATTTGTAGATTTTCTGAGCATATCATCTATTTCTGTTGAACTGAAAAACAATTGCATATTTTTATAATGATTCTGTATATGACGATAGTTTGATTTTATTTTTTTTTATGGATAACAAGCTTTTCACATTCACAGTTCCCTATGGGCTTTTAATTTCTGGTAGCAGTAAGTTTCTGTGATCTATCACACACATTACCTCTTTCACTCACCAAATTATCCACTGATTGAATTTCAACACTTAAGCAAAATCTGTTATTTTTAGATTTTGGACATGTTTATTAACACAGCATTTAGGAAAGACTTACTTGTGCTTTTAATGAGTAACTATGGAGGTCAACATGCACTCATTAGTACATGTAAATTATAAACAGTATCAATTAAGAACATGTGAAAGAGAGTCATTTACATCTTTAACAGCGTGGAAGTGGGTGACCAGCAATCAATACTTTCCAGATTTCAGATCTACAAATGTTATTTTATGTAATTAAAACCAAGCCTTTCAGGTGCATAAAGGGAAAGAAATCAAGATGTTTTCTATTTTAAAAGAAAAGGTGGCAGGGAAGAGGGAATTAGTATGCAACCAGTACATTTTCTGTCAGGAGAAATGATTGCTAAGGAAATTCAAAGTATAGGCAATGGAAAGCAAGGTTGAACGACTCGGGGAGGTAAACCAATTACTTCTGAAAGAATCTTTTTCAAGGAAATGTTTTCAAATTTTACATGCTTTGTTAAGTGAAAAGCTCTCTATTTAAATCAGACAATATTTTAAAAGTCTCACCAGCATTTTAGACTGCTCACTATGCCAAGCTGCATTCATTATATTCATCCATATTCATTCACGCACATAAACATTAAATGTGTTACAGCACTCAGAAACTATGTATTAAATTTAGAGAATTGTTCATGGGAATTAGGAAACAAGCATATCTAACAAGTATTTAGGAAGATACATTTTCAATTTATTGCATATTTTTAGGGCATGGAAGAGACATGGAAGTTATAGATTACTTTATACTCCTGGCATTTAAAGCTTACCTTCGGTGAAGTGACTCTGAAAATTTAAGGCTTGCATAAATAAATTCCTTAACCTGGATATAAATTTGAGGCACTGACTGAGACATTGGAAGCTTCTTTGGAAAGCACTGCTATGAAAACAAAGATAATGCTATGTTACATTTTAAACTTTCATTCTAAGGAGAGATTGTATTAAATACAACAATTCTAATTCTATTTTTCTGGTTTTCCTCAATATAGGCTGGATAGTGGGCTGGAATTACCTCTGTTTAAATAACTAACATGAAAATACAATATTAACAATGTTAACATTTATATGTTAAAATAAAATTTAAAGACTTCAGGTAATTTCAGATTTCCTTCTAGAAAGTAATTTAAAAAATGCACATTAAAAAAAAAAAAGTACCAAAACACTTTTAATCTGAATAGAAAAAAATAAAAAACAGGATATGTGCTTTAAACAACGTTTGCAATTTGCCAGAGAAAACAGCAAAGTTAAATATGAGATCTTCAAAGCATCTTGCAGATTTTCAGACATGTATATTTATTGCCACACATTTACATCATACAGATGGTTCACAAAACTAAAGCATTATTTATATTCTTTTTCATAAACTTGGATGAGCACATTTTATGTATATTGCTAGTCTGTAACAATGAAATCATGCTTCTTACTTCATTTTTACATTTGATAATGAATTTGGGGGGACAGAGAAGATAGTGCAATTCAATTAAATCTACAGACACCAGATAGACAGTACTGTATTGAATATATTGCATTTGAAATCCCCCAATTAATTTTCTGTTGACTCTATGACTAATGCATGAGAAAAATAATTAACAATTGGTATCATCCCAGGAGAATTTTATTTCTTCAAATAAAAGCATCATCAAGAGCAGATCAACACCGTATGTGTGTGCTCCAGCAGGGACACCTAGAGCACATGGCACAGGGTGGCAGCCAGGCAGGTTTGGAAGAGGAGACTTCACAACTTCTCTGGGCCGCCTGTTTCAGGGCTCACCCTCACAGGAAAGAAGTTCTTCAGAGATGAAACTTTCCGTGTTTCAATTTGCACCGTATATACATATATATACACACACACACACACACACCATATATACATATATATATCCCTGTGTGTAACCCTGAGGCAGCAACAGAGAGGTGACATGGATGAGTTTATAAACAGTAATCAATAGAAGTGATGCTAGGGCATTTATCAAGTTTTTCTTCCATGCAGATTCCTTGCTATCTAATAAAACGTCAGGTAAGATTTCAGTCTTTTATTCAATATGGGTGCTTAAAAATTCTCTCTCCTCAATCTCATAGCCTATTTCGCAAGCTTTTAGGAACATGATTATCTTTGAGACCTCTTCCACTCTATTAAATTTGGTTAGAGTCAACTAAACTGGATCAAAAATTCGTAGGACACAAGGGAGAAAACAAAACAAAACAAAATCCCTCACACTCTTGTTCCTAATGATGCCCTAATACAATACAGCCTGGCTAACATACAGGTTTCAAAGCTTTTTTATAAACATATGTAAAAATCATTATCCCTGCTTTACAGATGAATTAACAGGGACGGGGAGATGTGAAGTGACTTACCCAGTGTCACACAGCTGGTCAGTGACAGAGTTGGGAATAGGATCCAACCTGATTCCCAGCTTTAATCTCAAGCTCACTCAACCAAAAACTAAGCATCAGGCTGAGATTCTGCCCCCAAAATATCTACAAATGAAGTGCTGCTCACTACAAAATAACAATCTCTTTCCGTATCATAAAACAAAATTAAAATTGATATGTATACAAAATATATTCTCTTCCTAGTGAAACACAAGCCAAATGTTTTTGCTAACTATATGTGTTCATATACTCACACATACACACAAATAATAAAAAGATTTGCATTGATACATCAGAGAGAAAAAGGAAAGGAAGGCTGACAAAATTGTTTAATACCATTTAAAAAAATCTCTGCAATTTATCAGCAAAATCATCATGCTAAATAGTATCAAGTGCACCCTATACTTCTGATCTCATGTGGACTTTTCTTACATTGGTATTATTTTATAATAATATATCACACTGGCTAAATAAATTGATAGAGAAAAGCATGATAAAATAACTTCAACAGATGGACAAGATACGACAGAAATTAAAGGACTATTAAAGTCATCACAGCAGAAATATTATTTTTAAAGAATTGTTAAAGATAATTATATATGATGATTTATAAACTCAGCAAGCACTTTGGAGTTCTAATCCTCATAAAACTCACCTTTCATTTTTCATCATCTTCACAATAAAGCTATTAATGATATGGAGTGATTACAGTTGCCTGTTAAGTCCCTGCTAAATTGCAGGTATTTTTAATGGCAGATTTTGTAGAAAGCAGTTTCCCTCTAAATCAGTTACTTCCCCTGTCTCACAGTTCTTAGTTTTATTCCTCTTCATAGACTCCATCTCTTGGAGAGCATTACCAAAACGGTACTTGAATAGCAGAAAATACTAATAATCTTTCTGTGAAAGTAGCTCTTAGTGAGAAAATGGCTAATGGCTATTCTGTTGGAATGTTAGCACTGCAGAATTACTTATAGTCCCTTTGGGTTTATTTCTCCTTAGATATCCAGACATAAATAATTAACTTACACAGAAAAATAGTGAAATTCTTGTTTATTATTACATATATAGGTTTTTAATACTAAAGCATATAACACACTTTAGGTTACTAAATCCACTATGATGAAATACATTTTAAGCTATCTGTAATTTTAAAAGACTGTATTTTAATTAAAGACTGTTCTAATTAATCAAAGTGCATTATTAATTTGTTTAGAAAAGAATGGGTCACATTATTCACTCAAACTTCAGAGCAAATGACTACAGCTTGAATTACATATTTATCAATGACTAAAATTACCCATAAAGATGATGATTTAGCCTCTTAATCTACCTGGCTTTTCAAACCTTAATTACTTCTTAATTATAAAAATCATTACTGTCCTACACGTCGTTAATTGGATTTTGGCAAATTTTAATATAATTTTTTCTTACCTTATCAAGTTCTGGATCTTGAAAAGGAAATTTGCTTATAACTATTTTGTATTCCTCTTCATTTGCTACAGGAATAGGGCTGTAGTTGTCTGCTTCAAAAATATCCCTGATCAGAATAGTTAGGGAGGTGAAAAAAATTATAACATGTATTAACACTGAAAAATAATGTAATTAAAATACATGTATATTAAAATAATTTTTATATCACATTTATTATCACATACACTTTCAAAAAGCAACATACTGTAACAACTATAATCTCCGAAATTCAAACTGTATGAATTTGCAAGTACTTTTTATAATGAGTCTAACTCTATGGAGAAAATAGATCACAACTGCATAACTACAGCTACATGCAGTGAAGATGACTCAGATACCTCAAGCAGACATGGGGCCCCAACCAATTTAAGTATCCCTGGATGTCTCTAGAAGTCCTCTGATCATATCAGGGGCCTAGAGAGCTTAAAATCCTTAGACATTAAACTTGAGCAACTGATTTATTTTATTAACATGTTCTGCAATACAATATAATTTCCTAGCCTGTGGTTTCAGAGATCATACCCTATCTGCAGGGCAGTCCTGGGCTGCCCTACTCCTGATTTTGCCCAGTCAAATGCTTCCAAGGCAGAAATGGAAGCGAACCTGCACTAAAAGCTCTCTCTTTCTGGCAAAAGAACAAGACTTACTGGCAATAACAGTTATCTGTTGGGGAGATACACTTATCAGCTAAATTTAAATGTTAAGACAACCCAAATTAGGAACCTAATGTCCTGTTGTGATAGCCGGGGGTGATTAGGTTCCCAGTGGAGAAAAAGAGGCATCTCCCTTCTTGGTCTTTTCCCTTTGCAGAACTGCCTGTTCCCCATTAGCTACAGAAGCAGCTTGGACAGCTATTTTCCCAAGTACCATTTATATGTGATTAGTCCTTAGTCCTACTTGACCACGTCTTCATACATAATACTGAGTTAATCAATTCTTCCAAAATTATTACTCTATCAAAAAGTGAGGTATAATAAAAACAACAGATGCAACAAAGGCACAATTAATTTGAAACACTAACCTGAACAATCCAGACCACTTTTTAAGTAATGTTTCATTGTATTGGTCTCTTATCTCAAATAAGAGATCAAATAAACGATTGACAGGAAAACCATAACCCTAAGGTATAAAAAGGGAAAGGATGGGTAATTCAAGAACTAATACACTCATCTCTATCACATCAGTTCAAGATATTGAGATTTCTTATCCAGTCCTGTCACTTTTATAAAACAAACTCTAGTACTTTAAATACACCACTACTTTTAAAAGATTACATATAACATTTTTACTAAATACTTCATGCTGTTCCCAGATTTTTAGCTATTTCTCTATAACACTTTAACTTGCTATTTATTTAAAAACTAGCCTGCTTTATCAGTGTATCTGTTAAATATTGTAAGAATAACTTGATAATAATGTTCATTTGATCTTTCAACTACAACACTAGTGACAAATGGAATATTAATCTTCCTAAAAAACAGAAGTAAAGAAAAATCATATACAAAATACAGAACTAATATTAATTTTGTATGGATATGGATGCTAATTGTATTGCAGGAATTGGTAAAATTGAAAAGCAGGAATCAGAATAAGAAATACAGATGTTTTTATTATTTAAATTATTATTGTGTAATTATGTTCTTGATTCATACATATGACTTTAGGGAATTTCAAAGCACTGAACATAGATATCTTAAGAAAAAAAAAAAAGGACCATAGTGTTTCAATCGAGTTACTCACATAACACCAACCTGCAAAGTATCAGCAAACACTACAATGAGATTCTTCAGTTCCAAAACAAGGTCAGGATCACTGCAATATGACTGAAAGTGAGATACTCTGATTTGGTTAAAATATTTTAAAATCTTGGACACACTTTTTGAAATAACATTGTCATAGAAGGGTAAAGTTTCCTGCTTTATCCTTTTCCCCAACTGCCTTTGTAAAAGCAATTTAGGCTCCATTTTCTTCACTTATTCCAGTTATATATGAGTATTTGTCTATCCATACTACAAAAGTTCAGAAAAAGTAAATGAAAATTCACTGTGCCATAAACAGAAATGTGTATTCTCTAGAAAAAAAAGCAGTGAATTGCACTTACTTTGATGGAACACCTTAAAATGCTTTGCTAAATGAGTAACAGAAAGGGATTTCCACAAGAGATGCTTTTAAAGATGATCTAACTAGCATTAACACTGTTCCACCCTCAGTTTATAAGGGAAAACACTATAAGAACATTTACTAAATATGCACAACACTCAGATTACACTCAGCTGTGAAAAGTCACACACCTAAGCTACTGAGTCCACTAAATGACTGATACTTATATTTCAGAGGTGTAGAATCATATAGCTAAGATTTTCACTTTTGCCTCACCATTCTCAATACCAGATAATGCCTGTTCCACCTTTCCGTAATTTTTTCTCTTGGCATAATCAAATACAGTAAGAGTTTGGCTTTTAAAATGTCAGAAGACAATATATGCCTTTTTAAAAGCTAGTCCATACTACAGTCATGTTTGGAGAGATTAACTTCACAGAACTGGTTTTGATTAGAGTTATGGATTTTGAGAAGAAATAGTGATCAATTGTAGTGCCAGATATTGTATAGTTCTTTAAATTAGAGATTACATAACTTTTAAATCTTAAATTATCATATCCTCACATAGGTTTATAAGCCAATATTAATATAAAGTCAACTAACCTGCTCAAAAAAATGCTGAGTATCTCTCAGCTTAGTCCAACCCTCTGAAATAAATCAAGGACTATGAAAACGAAATCTCATGTTCCATTGACCAACACATTTCCTTGATCTTAAGGAATAATTGCAATTTGTTTTTCCACTATTTTTCTTAAGTACACATGAAATGCAAAATACTCCTTAAACTAAAAATCTATTGTAATAAAAATAATGTGAAGGAACAGTTTCTAGCAAATATTAAAATAAAAAAGCAAGAGAAGATCTTTCCTCACACTACACGTTTTACTAAATAAGATCTTGCTGGTAACTCTGAAGAAATATACTAACAGTCACTCTCAGTAAACAACAGTATTCAATTGGTTATTGTATAAGAATAAGAAACAGCATGCAGATATTAAGAATCAGTCGAGCAAAGAGTAAAAGTACAGCTTTAGGATCACACTTTGAATATACTGGAATGTTATGCTAATGCATTCTGGTATCTGTCAAGATTTTTCTATACCTTTACCTCCATATCAAGATGTTACATTGAAGAGGTAGCTCCAAGGGTTTTGCTGCTGGAGTTTATTTTGGAAACAGGGCATTTGGAATGATAATTAGGAACTATTTCCTGGTGGTGTTTTCAGTGCTGAACTATTCAGTCTGATCTAATGAAGAGGTCAGTTGAGACTAATGAGGAAGGATTGCAATAATAACAGCAGATTAACTCTGCATATTCTAAACTGCTGGACTAAGAGAACGTTTGGAAGACCCAGTGAGTTGTAAATCAGTGGAGGATTATGCAAATAGCCCATGGCTGGGGATCACAGCCTGATACTATTGGGAAAAACAAAAGCTTGGCAGGCTCCCTCCCCAATCTGAGCAATTTTTAATCACAGGAAAAAAAAAGAAAAAAAGAACACATGAAGGAGGTAATTTTTCAGTACATTATTAGTGTAGTTTTAAACACACATAGCTCATATGTAAATGGATTTAAATCGTATTGGTGCTACATTTTCTCACTTACTGAATGGGTTCTAAGGACAGCAATGATCTTTGAAAGAGCCATGTTCCAGAGTTCATCAGTATACGTCTTGGTCACCAGTCCTTGGGTCACATGTAAGATGTGGTCTTCTACTACAAAGAAACTAAGACAAAAACAATACTTAAGTTAAAAAGTTAGTTCCAAACACTAGAGCAAATTTTGCCCTTTCACACACAAGTACAAATCAAACTCTAGTCGTGTGAGAAGTAAGACTTGGGTGTTCTGTTTGGCCCACCATAAAGTCATAATACTAAAAGCTTGTTTTATGACAGTGTGGCAATAAACTTCTAGCATAAGGGAGCTTTTCAATGCCCACATGATTTGCACAGAAACTGAATCTTTCAGAAGAAAGTTTTAGGAAGATTCGTGAATAGAGGGTGGTTAAGAATCAATACAGCAAAACTGGAAAAAAATCTCCATTTAGAAAACTTACCCTACAATTTGACTGAAGTATCTTCTATAGCCTTCTACTGTTTCATGCTTTCAGTGAAAAAGAAAACAAGTTTAGGAATAAAAATAGCATTGAATATTAGGTACAACCCAAGTTACTGCAAAAACAAAAGTGGTGGTTACCATGCTTGACTGCGGCTGCAGAACTAATCTTGCTTGTTTCCTTCTTTGCTTTCTGTAGTAATTTTCAAATATTTCTCCATCACCCTAAACCAAGAGGAAAATAGTTAAAACAAGAAAACTCTCTCAGTATGAAAAAGTACTTCTGAAATTAGGGGTAGAATTCTCTGTTCTGAACTACAACCACATATTTTGCATTTGTTCCACACTCAGACATTCAGCCCAGATCATCGAAATTTTGCATGCATGAAATGCTCAGATTTTTTTTTAAAGCAGTTTACAGATTGTACTGAAGAGAAAAATTCTTCTTACACAATTACACTTCATCAAATAATACTTATGCTTTCAACACATTAAACAATTATGTAAAGACATGAATGTATGTTCAAAATTATGGTCTACATACCAAAGGAATTTTTGTAGGTAAGACTTTAATTATTGTAGTGGTTACTCACTTTTTCTTTAAATTACCCAAGAAACTGACTGCATTATATTAGCTGTAATAATGTTTCTGATATTACACATCTTGATACTGAATGCATTTGCACTGCATGAGCAGAATACATATAAGTTATGCCTAATATTTGCTTATTTCCTTTGGAACTGGTAAATATAGTAACTACAGATTTGGATTTTTCTCCTATTGGTCTTGAAAATACAATGCCTTCTGTGCATGATTATACTGTGAGAAATTCAAGTGACACCCTAGCTGTCTTCTTAAGATGACCATTCAGTGCAGACCATCCGTCCATCTGAAATCAGTGCTACGCTGACTCACCTGCATACTGAATGCAATACAATTTGCATGCAAGCACAATACAGTAGCTTAACATTTTTTAAGGTTTGTTTTTACCTTCTAAGCCTATTATTAGACCAGTACTATAAAGAGTTCCATTATTTGGGCTTCCAAAATAATTCCCAAATCCACATAAATAAATATATTATAGGAACTGCACATTCCTAAGCCAGCATTACTTATCTCACACCTTTAGGAAATACAACAGCAGAAGATTAAATTCAGTATTTTAAGTTCATACTGAATTTTTGGCCATATTCAAGCATACTGTTAATCTACTCTCCCCAAAAGCTTGATACTCAGAGATTATTCACTAGAAGAGCTTATTATAGCAAACTTTACAATGCATTATCATTCATACTATCACATATTTATCAGGCATACTAATGAGTCACCTCCAGCCCAAGTGTTCAATGCAGGTTTTCAGACACCCCAAAACAGTATTTACTCTCCTTCCCAAATCACATCTCTGTCCCAACAGAAGTGTCTCAAGTGGAAAAGAACAATTGTTCTTCTTAAAAGAACACACCGAAAATTGAGATTTAAAAATCTCGTGACACACCATGCAATCCTATGCAATCATAATCAGCAGCTGAGGCATAACTATCCCTTCAAACAAATATTCTAAAGTAATCAGCAGAATAAACAACCCTATAAACAACCTATAAAGGTACAGGTTAGTCTGCAAGATCAACAACAGCAACAAAACGAGTAATGAAGAGATTAAACTTTGCTAACACATTCCAATGAGAGTGACAAGTATAAAACAGTGAAGTTACATTGGGGTCTATCTCAGTTACAAGAAATTCATAAAACGAGTGAGCACAACACGAGTTGCTCCAGAAGAAAGGTTGGATCCAAGCAGGCAACAGGCATGTACCACAAACTGGAAGAACTTAAGAGCTGTCAAATATTTTAGACCGTCAGATATAACTGTTGCTTTCTATATGATCCACTCTCTTAAGAATATTATGTTTTTCAAAAACTCTTCCATTTCATAACCTAAAGAAAAGGTTTTGTCCATGACTAGTATGTTTGGTGTGTTGGTACCTTGTAATCACAAGGTTGTAATCACAAACCTTCTTCATAATGACTGAAGCTATGGAGTGCTTTGAGGTCTGCAAAAGCCTCCTTTCTTCTGCAATACGAAGGAGTATAAAATTTATGTTCTGTGCTAAAAGACAGTATTTTCTACAATTTCATAAGAGAGAGATAATTCACTTCTAAGGTGACATCTGCTTGTGAGATAAAGTCTCAGAGCAAAAATGTAACGAATAGCCACCTTTTGTAACCTCCCTACTTCTGCTGTCATTGTATAATTCTGCAAGCCCCAAAACATGAAGAGATGGTTTACCAAGGGAAGTAAAGGAGAAGGACTCCAAGAAGTGGTTAATGCACAGCTAATCCTACCAGGGGTTATTAATCAGATGATGTCAGTCGTGAGAAAATAATAAATCATTTTTTACTAAGTTACTCCCCAAAAGTTTAAGTTCTTGTTAGCCTATTCATTGTCCTTCTGCTGCCACGTCTAATAGGAGCTGTTGTTCCTCTGCCACTGATTCTGGTCTAATCTGTCTCATCACAGTCTGCCACAATCTTCAGCTTCTGCAGACTATTTTGCTCTACTTTTTTGATTTCCACAAGGTTCAGACTGAACATACCTATGTTTTGTAATGTTGACCATCTTCCCCCAAACATTTGGACAACATGGTACACTTGGGAGAACTGCAAAAACGGTATTATCATTATTGAGGCAGATGAGCATTTATTACATATATTCTTAAAACCACTTAAGTAATTAAGTCTTGCTGTGTGCTCCTTTCTTATGCACATAAAATAAACATGCAGTAATACCCTGAGTACCTATGCTCCATCTATTTCAGACAGTTCATCCAGGACTATGTAAGAAATATTCTTGCTTGCTTGCGAATTTTAAGAACATAAAATGTATGAAAATGAACACTCAACTTCAAAAAAAAAATACACAATCTTTTTTAAAGTCAACTTAATACATACCAAAACTGAGTAGATATGCAAACACCTATAGACTGGAGAAAAGTCTACAAGATCTTGAACAGTTAAAACCTGAAAGAGGGGAAAAGAAAAAAAAACACATATAAAGCATATAATCTGCATAATTTAATATGTAATCAACAGAACCTGTCCATTCCATAAATACTGTGTAAGGCATCTTACTGGTAAGGAATTATCATTTCCTTTCAAATTCAGTTTTAGTGCCCTTAATTTTGAAACTGCTCAACTTGGCTTCCAGGAATATGGTTATTTTGTGAGGAATTAGCAGTTTAGTAGAGCATGATGTTAGTAGACCAATGAATCTAAAATTTGAACAAATACGGAAATTCTTTGGGTTAAATACAAAACCATGATCGCATCAAGCCAGCAAAACTCAACTCCACAGGCTGACAGGTCTTATGGTCACTAAAACCACTATTTTTGTAGAAAGTGTTATAGAAAATATGCTATAATGAGTGATCATAATAAGATTATCTAGTTTTGCCAGCAATCGCACTGATTTAGGATGAAGTTACCTCTTCCTCATGCTCATCTTCTTCCTCAAACGTTCTCTTCAATGTAATTTCATTCTTGGACTCCCAAATTCTGTTTTTACCTAAATGCATATTCCGACCATAGTTTACGTTATTCTGTTTCTGAAGAGTCGTACTAAAGGTTTTCTGCTGCTGTGCCTGTTTTAAAAGTAGCATCAATAAGGAGTGCTGCAATACAAATATCACTACTGAGGAATATATGCTATGGCGAGAAGAGCAGGTGTGTCTTAGTTTTATTCATCTTTACAGGCTGGCTAGATGGGCATCTCTCCGTTCTGGCAAGTCCTTACTTCCCACCCTCTCACCGAGCAACAGAGTGTCTTGCGGTTAAATATACAAAGTTTTTCTTTTCCTTTCTCGCTACAGTCTCAGGAAGAAAACTGCTTCTAGTCTAGGACACAAATACAAACTCAGAAGGAAAGTTGGAGCGCTATAAAGGAGCCACACTGCTTTTTTTTTTTAGCCAGAGACTGCTAGAATCAACAACTTTGTATCAAGAAGAAAAAAATATTTAGGATGTTAACAAGCACTTCACTTGCTTTACTTAAAGGTCTAGGTGATGACTACACCTACCCTAGACAACTCTTTGGGACTAACCTGAGGCTATCAGTGATAGACTGATGACAGTTTAGCCATACAAGCATACAATCAAAAGTAAATTAACTGTCCAAATGGGCTTTATAGACTACAATGAACTTCATGTTGCTGCAACTACACCATTGGCACTAGTCAATCTACTAACATAAACATACCCTAAATTACATTAGTTAACCACATTTTTTAGGAAGCATCTATTTTTTTCCATCTTTAGAGTAGTTTTCAGTAGATAACAGGGCAGAAACCATACTGCTTACCTACCAGGTAAGGCTTACCTGCTTCATTGCAGTTTCACCAATTTTATCAGAATGCTTTCGAATGCTCTCTAAGAAATCCTTGAGATCTGACATGGAAATTTCTTTTATTTCTTCACGCAGTTTTGGAAGATTTTCCATCATTATTTGGCAAAAACGGTACTGGCTAACTCTAGGAAGATACAGATTTTCTAGCTGTTCCATTGTTTTTAAAGCAGAATAGTATCTGCAAAGAAATCAAAATCAAATTATGTAGCTATTTTATTAATGTTTATAAAAACACTTTACTACATACATTAATTTCATATATATATATAATTAAATCAATCTATTCTTTTAAGAGAGTCATGTGAACAAAGGGTCACTCATGCAGTGTTTTAGTCTGGAAAAAAACAGTGAACTCTGAGCAACGCAGTCAAATTTTAAGAAAGCTCCTACGGTACTTGCTCTATTCAACAGAGCCCTAATGCCACATGTTGTAGTCTGCAGAGGGGTACTAAAGCCAACAAAAATATCTCCCTTCTTAGTTTAAATTACTGTACTGGGAAAACTTTTCTTTTTCTTTTTTAATTTTTTTTTTAATTGAATCTTGTATTCACCCAACTTTGCATTACCTGCATCAGACATCGAAATAAAATGCTTTGTTTGCAAACCATGAGTCTATTTATTGTTCTGACAAAGCACAGGACATCCCATCAAGAAAATGACTAACCTAAAGAACTGAATCTGCTACACCGCATAGGCATTATTTAAGCAGACATTTTAATAATTTGTTATTTTCCTGCCAAAAAAAGAAAAAAAAAATCTCTGTGATCCCTGTAGGAGGCTGCAAAATAATACAGAAATTAAAGAAACTGAAGCCAATTTGACATCTGAGAGTTAATTATCCATCTCCTCTCTCAGTACTTTCATAGATTACAAGGGTTTCAGGGTCAAGACTCATACTCGCTAAAACCATTCATCCGTTCTAAGCCTGCATCACATAAGGAAAAATCTGATGTTTCCAGATGATTTAAGAAAACATTACAATAGGAAATTTTAATAAAGGGAAATTAGTTCTCGGGTTTTCTGGAGAGATGAGTACAACCAGAGGCCATTCAGAGCACTGAGTTAGGCTCCTACACCTATTCCTGAAGTCAATACATTTTCAAGTGTCACATAGGCTTCAGAGTTCTGGATACAGCCAGAAAGCTTCTGAAAATAGTTACGTTATTGAAAAAAAATGAAGCAAAATAAATACGAGGAAATTCTGCTACAGACAGCAAAGCTAAGAAGGCAAGAAATGGAAATATCATGAATGCTAAAACTACAGAGTTAACAACCTTTTAAAGAGAAGTATACAGAAGAGGTCAGACAGGAGGAGGACAGCAATTATTCATAGATGTGACAGTAATTCTAGAAGCAATATTCTTACCAGCCATAGAGCCTAGGAAGAGGCATTGAAAAATGTATTTATTTTGGCCTGCTATAATATCAGAATAAGGTGAACTGGGGCCTTCCAGGCTGGACTTGAATAAGAAAAGGACAAAGGCTGAAATCTGAGATATCAGCTTGCTATTTAAATTCAACCCTTCCACTGCACTAATGTGGAACAATATCTCTACATCCAAGCTTATTATTAACTCCTTGAATTATAACTTTGAAAAGTGAAGGGGCTGAATCATTGTGAGCGCAGAAAGCTGAATATGTGCCAAGTCCCTTCAAAGTGTTAAAGAATCCTGGTAAATTGTCCTTTACAGTTATAGTGCTCAGGTTTTTGTTTTGTTTTGTTTTTATATAAAATACATATATTATTTTGTAAACATAGCAAGTAAAACACTTCCCACCAGTAAAACAATTCAATTTGATGGCTTTCTTCTTTAGACAGAGAAGCAATAGTAAGTTATCAAAAATTCATTTGTAACTTCTCTTTTCATTGCAAAATAAACATATATTTTGAGTGTTCTCAATCAAGGCATTTCTAAGCCAACAATTCAGTACAGGCAGAGGATGGGAAAAAACTTCTTTTCTTCCAAAAAATAACTTTCTAGAAACTGTAAATAAGGAGGTTTCTGTAAATAAAGAGGTTTCAAGGGTGAATTAAGAGCTTTTGCTTATTATATACTTGGTTTGTATAAAATATACATAAGACAATGGGAATGCTCCAGATATGAAAAGGTTTGGTGGTTTTATGTGGAGTGTGTGTGGAATAACAAATGACCGAGACAGTCACATGGTGAGACTTCTGGGGAATGAAACCGTAAGAGCATCAAAACTGTATAAAAGGTTTTTATTTAAATTATACAGGTCAGCTTATCACTGTTAGTTCACCTGGAAGGTTTTTGAGTGCGGACTCCAAGATCCAAATTAGCCTAATCCATTTTAAATCCATTCCACAGCCCCTCACTGATTTATACGTATATATATGCATGTGTATATATACATATTATAGAGAGCGAGCTCAGGACCTTGCCCTTTTAACATCTGTTCTGACAAAGCACTGAAACCATCTTGATTTGAAGATCACTTGCAGATGAGGATTAAATGAAAAAGTTTTGCATGTCATTCCACAGAACGATGTATGTGTATCTTCTGCTTAAAAAGCATTATATAGATTTAACTTGATGCTTAAGATTTTCTTTGACAGTTATATTAGTTGTCTACATATATTGCCAATCACTTGAGGAAAAAGGTTGCCCATTTAAATATAAATGAATTAAAGGAGTATCTTCAACAGTATTTTGTCATAAACACAGCAGTTCTCTGCTTATTCTTCTGAGCTAACTTTGTAAGAATAGGTTTACCAAAACAAATTTATTCATTTGAAACTGAAAATACAGATTTGAAACTCTAATACAGGTCCATACAATACGCCTGTGCAGAATTGAATTATCTTGCCTTCGGGGCCAGAAAACTATAAGGTGAATTGAAATAATCTTTACTAACTCCTCCAAACTATAAGAACAAAAAGTTCTAAAAACTGCAAAAAGCAGAATTGGAAGAAAGACAGAAATCAGTATTAAAATTCTGCATTATCTTATTCTAAAATCATCTAACTCCCAGAGTGAATGGTCAGGACTGTACCAGAATTTCAAATTTTAGGACAGGAATTATTAGTTTGAATTTCTGCTAGCAGTAATTTATGTTTTAAATGACAGAGAGAGTTATGATTTTTATCAATGGAATGTATTTTGGAGACAAAAAAAGAGAAATACTGCAACTTCCTAGGGAAAAAAAAAGGAGAGGAGAGATAGAAATCTTTAAAAATTTTATTTTCACTAAAAAAATTAATTTTAACTTAAGGACATCAAGTCAAAAATTTGCAAAAGGAATTTGAAAAAAAAATTCTTCTGCCTTTCATATCATGAAAGCATGCCATCCCTCACCACAGGAGCAATTTGACCCTCAGAGCAATTCAGGAACCTAAAGAACTAATCAACTGCATCTCTGACACAGTTCTGAAGAAAGGCCCTAGCACGGCTGGGAAAAGAATCCAAGTCCTTCAGTGGCAAAGTGCTCTGTCTGCAAGACCATACCCTCTCTTTAGTCCTCCTCAGAGTAGATTCAGGAAGATTTTGCAATAACTTTACTAGAATTATTTAATGGTATTTTCACCATAGGTTTGGGTAATATCATTTGTGGAATAAGAGTTGCAAATAAGCTAGTTCTAACAATTCCTAGTGAGACTGTTCACCCACCATCTTCTAAACTAGCCTGAAGCTTTCTCTTGAGACACATATCAATACTCACATGTACAAGCCAAGGTAATAGGCCTGTATAAAGTGTGTGACGACCTTACCTCTGACTTGCCGCTAAGTATCAGGGAAATTCAGGCTAAATTTATAACCTTTCTCTAGGTGTTTTGGAGAAAAGCAGAGAAATCACAGCCTCTCCCTCAGGCTTCCTTACCTAAGACTTAAAATCCTCTGTAAAGCTTTCCAGTCAACTATCTATTTGGAGCAGATTCCTCAATTATTTCTCCTCACTGCTAGAGTTCTTGTCAACTTGTGTTATACATGGCTCAGAAGACAGATAAATAGGATGCAGAGCCTTTCACCTCTAGGTCAGCAGTTCAAATAAAGCCCATGGTAGTGGGCTTTGGTTGGTAGTGACCAAAAGTTGCTATCAGCAGATGTCTTTTTGGACTCCTCAGTAAACCTTCATTCTATCTGCATAAAACAGTATGTATCCCAGACCCAAAACACTGCATTAACTTATAAGGTGACTGCTGTGAAGAGAAAAGGAAATAAAATTCCAATATTTATCCTAAAACAACCATTCCAAAAATATATAACATCCACACTTCGCTCTCCTCTTTCTTTAAACATTAGAATTTCTAGTTTCATTCATTTTGCAAAATCCTGTGACAAATCCAGCAATAATGAAATGATACTATAAAAACACAGTCACTCGAAAGAATAGAGATTGCTTTCTCAAGACCAACGTAAGCTTTGCCGCAATCACAGTGCTCAGCAAAGATTTATGAGAAAAGTTATCTTGGCCAAAAATAAACACCCCTCATCATTTTGTCAATAAAGGTTTGTGAAAGCTCCCATCTCTCATTCTTTTAAGAAAGACTCATAGCAAAAGTTGAGAAGGTCAGTTTTGAAATGTCTTATATCTGTACGAATCATCAGCCAAGACCGATGCTCTATAAGTCCTTGCCACTTCTGAGTCACGTCATGATAAATGCCAGGAAACAGTCACTCTGGATTTGTTGCCTGTTAAGCCACAAGGAAATTACCATCTGAATTAATTGCAAGTTCTACAGTTATCCACAGGATACCCACCTCTGGGCTCTAATAAAAAGAATTGTAAGTCACAAGCAAAGTGAAAGAAAGAAAAAAACACAGCATAGTTAATGAAAGAGATATTTGAGCTGGAGCAGTAGCCTGGAGCTGAGTTTGAACACTGTGTGCTCCACGTGCTTTCAAGATACATCAAAGCTATGGTAGCGCCCCTCTCCCTCAGATCTTGTTACGGGATGACAACGATATGTCCAAACCCCTCAATTCAGTGCATCTCCGTTTTACTTTGCAACATTTAACATTTCCTGTCTGGGAACTCCTTCCACAGGAAAATTATCAGATCTTAAACTCTTAAAATAATAGTAACAATTTTAGATCTGAAGAGCACAGATGACTTCTCAGAAAGCCCATCAGCAATTAGTGGATTTGAACTACAAAACTATTAATGAATGTGGAGTCAAAACGCTAAACGTCATTTGCCATTTTATCTCACCTAAGTGATCTACTCCAATGACATAAGGAAATACAACTCTCGATTGCTCTATGACCCAAAAGAAGTAACATTCTAGTTTTGGCAGCGTTAGAAAGTCGTTCTCTTGTCTGTAGTAGGAAGGATGTTCAACCGTTTCACTCATTCTGCTGAGCTGCTCTGAAAGCACTGCTACAAATCACTGCCAGCTACCTTAAGCGGGTGTCAAACCAGTTTCCAGTTCACAGGAAATGGCGTGTACTAGTCAAGCCAACAAGATCTACAGCAGTGGTTCCCATCTACCAAGTTCTGCTTGTAATAAGACACAGCATGGGGCCACGGCTATTAGAGTTTTCCTAAAGCTCTTGTATTTCTGCAGCAGACTTCCCAGAAAGTATTATGGCACCATGACAGAGCAGCTGGTGTGGCTGCCAGCAGCTGTGCCAGGCACACCGAGAGGTGATGACAATGGCACAGCAGGGGAAGAGACAGAGCCATCACAGGACAGAGGCAGCAGGAAGAGCAGCCAAGGATGAAGGTGGCAGTGGTCCTGCAGAAAGCAAGAAGGTGAAAGCAGCAGCAGGAGCACTGCTGTGATGGAATGTCTGAGGTGCAAGGCAGCAGGGTCAGCACTGGTGGGATGAGGTGGTAGCTATGGGGGGTAAGGAGTCAAGCCACTGCTAAGGGAAAATTGGTGATACTGCAGCAGTGAGTGCATCTCTGAAGGAATTGAAAGCAAAAAGGAGCAGGTGATCAGGTACCAGTTGGAAACCACTACTGCAGAGAGATTTGAGTTTTATTTTTTTAAAAAAAAGCTCTATTTTCTCATAGATACAATTCACTCACCTTTTTACATTCATCTGTTCTTTTAGTTTGCTGTACATTTCCAGCACTGTATAAAAAGATAAATTCATGGATCATACAGTGGCTTTAATTAATACAAGAGGAAAACAAAATAGACACAAAATAGGCCACAGAAAAAGATATGTTAAATTTACCGTAATCATTTCATACTATAGCCTAAAAATAATAAAAAATAGCAAAAAAAAAAAAAAAAAAAAAAAAAGTTCTTGAATGCAGCTAAGGAAAAGAAAAAAGATACAATATATATCAAGTATATTCATTCACTTATTACTGTAACTTCATATATATTTCCTGTCTCCATTAAAAGGCAACAGTACCATCTACTGTAACCACAAGTCAACACAAGACTCTAACAAAGAAAAAGTTTCAAACTTTCTTCATGCTAATATAAACAGGATAAAATCCTTATAGAACTGTGTGCAATCCTACAATATTTTCTGAAATAGAGTCCTTTTTTATATAAAAGTATTATTGCAATGCCACAGAGCTAAAAAACAATAGAATGCTGAAGAGTATCATTAATATATTCCTTAGAATTTAAACAATAAAGAAAATAATTCTTAAGCAACAACTTGTTGATTTTTCATACTACAAGTAAGATGGCATTTAAAGGTGCCCATAGGTACATTTTTTGCATCATTTATATCCATCTCATTGTTTTAGTACGAGCTAGCATAACTTTCCTATTTCAAATGCTATAAGCTCAGTCAATCTGTATGTAACACCTTTTTAAACACTCAGCAATTCCTTTGTTAAACTGGATGGTACAGGACAGAATTCGAACTTAAAAAAAATAAAATTCCTTTGCATTTTGACTACCGCGTGTTCTAAAAAAAAAAAAAAAAAANNNCTGTCATCAAATTTAACTCTGTGTCACTCACCTGGAAGGCAGAGCTGTAGTTTTTCAATGACTGTTGTAATATTCCGCTGCTGAACTCTGCATCGGATGATCTCCTCTGTTTGGGCTATCACCTTAGAGATTTTTTTTTCCAGAAAATTAAAATTAAATTATGCAAATATATTTAATTTGCTAAAAACATTCATAATGCCCATATAAGAAGCACCATTTTCTCACCTCTTTTCCAGAATCCTGAAACCTTCGGTTGGTATCAGTAACTTGGACCTTAAAAATAAATTTCACCTTTGTTAGACAAATATGCATATATTGCCCTGATGTGACTGCTCACCCTTGTAATCAGATCATGCTTCATGAGAAACTTAGAACAAAGAAATGCAAATTCAAATTAACTCTACAGCTTGAACTTGAACTTTTGATCGCAAAGGGCTTTTGTTAACTTCAATTACTTATGACAGTTCTTTCTAACAGATTCTGTGGCAAACTTCTCAAATTTACTTGGGATTTTTGAACTTTCCTTGTTTCTGTAGGTCTGTCAAACAATTCAAATCATTGACCCAATTGACCACTGGTCCCTTTTTGATAACCTCAATGAGCTCTATGGGCCATTCATTGTCTGTAAGAAATGGTGATTGCATTTTATGGTAATTAAACATTCATACTTTGCTGAATGCAAACACTGGGTGGTTGATTAACATCAAACGTGGAAATCTCCAAACCACAGCAACATTTTAATGCTGCAGGTGCAGGCGAAGCTCGACCTCAGATTTTCCCACATAGTAAGTGACTCATTAGGTCATCATAATAAGGAAGCACATTCTAGTTTATTAAAAATCTCATTAATTTCTGAACAAAGATGCTCAATGACCTCATTGACGCTGTATTTGGTCTCTTGTTATCTGAATATCCTTTATATAATGCTCTTCTAATCATAACCTCTGATGAACTATGCTCATTCTGTCTGGTGTGCATATTTTGCTCTCAAAAGTGTAAAGAGAGCTAAAAGGGACAGATCTCATAAATCACTATTTACAATTTGATTTGTGTGTAAATCTTGCTTCTCATTTCTAAAGAAAACTACTAACTCCACCTACTGTCCTACTCATAATGTAAAGAAAACTTATTTTTCAAATAAAATAATTCTGGCAACACTTTCTGAAATCTTATATTTAAACAGTCAGAATTAGACCTAATAAATACTCAACTTCGCAAATGTACTACTGGATCTGACAACACAGCCCTACTCATAAATCTTAAACAACCTGCTTCCCAAATTTGATGCAAACATCACAGTGTATATGATAATTGCAAAAAATTGTATCTTTGGTAAAGAGAAAAAAAAAGAACAAGTTACTACTTCTGAGTAGGCTATTTCCTTACCTTTAGTTTTTCTGCATTAGCCCTAACTTTAAGAAGTTCTGTAATAGCATCCACAAAGCCCTGATGGTGAAAATTGCACATCTTTTCTATCTCCCTGTCATGGTTACGTATGCAGGCATCTAGATTTTCCATAAACTTCTGGTGGGCATTTGGTTGGTCATCGTACACAGACCTGTGAAATACAAAAAAGAAAACCAAAGTTTACTTTTTTTTTTTTTTTACCCAGTTAAATATAGTGTGCAAGAATCTTTATTGAAGCCTCCCCTTAAAGAAAAAAAAAAAACACAAACAAAACCAGGTAAAGTCGCTTCCATAGCGGCTCATTTGCGATGCACTCCTCTAAAGTCAGCATTAAAAGAAAGAGATAGTCCAAAACGGAGCCCTGAACCCAGCCCTTATGGCATTAATCCAGGTGCTTAGCCCGTTACATCATGGTTGACCTGAGCCTCACTGCTCGACTCTTTCTGCCCTAATGCTCAAATATGGGTACAAAAGAACCCCAGCTCCCTCAAATAGCATGGATCACTTTTCCATCCAGTTCCACTGCTCGGTAAATGTAAAGCAGCACAAACACACAAATGTGCTTTCCTGGTATTCCCAGTGTTGGAGTTCGCGGTGCAGGCCGTGTGGGCCGCCGCGAGCCAAGGCCGCGGGCGAAACGCGCGGCGGCCGCAGCCGCAGCCGAGCGGCGCGCGCTGCCCCGGCCTCGCGCGGCTCCTCGGCGCCGCCGCGCGCCCAGCACCGCTCCCAGGGACACCGAACATGTGCCCACGGCGGCCACCGGAGTGGGGTCCATCCCAGGAACGGATGGAAATCCAAGGGCTGACACTACATGTGCTGGAAAAACAATTAAATACATAAACAACCAGGTCTTCTTTGGAACTCAGGAACTGAAATACAGCTTAAAGTGCTTCATTTATACGATTACAAGTTTTGGTGTGTACTTCTACAAGACAAACAGATTGCACATCTGTTACAAGTGCTGTCTGGGCTTTTTTGTTTTAATTATTTTGAGATGCAGAAGACTCTTCCAGCTGATGGAGTTTACTTGTTTATTTTACTAATTGTTAGAATAATGAATCTACCAACGCCAAGTCAATGAGAAATTGGGAGTGCAGCTGTTGAGCTGGGTCTGAAAGAGAAGTTGCATGGAAAAAGGCACAGATGTGAGAATAGGCACACGACCTATGGGCAATTTAAAGCTTTAAACCTTAGCTGAAGAAGCAAGAAAAGAGAATTATTGAGGACTGTCCTGGGCAGCAAGGTATGAGGTTTCCCAGCAAAGGTAAAGTAAAAGGTAACATTAGAAGGAGAAACATGCTTGATGCTTCATTTTTTTTCCAGTTTTAAAATAATCTTCAGGACAGGTAATCCCTTAGAATGGTCTTCCTCTTGGCATCAGACATTTTTGTTCTACAAGATACTTTGTTTCTGTCCTTTAACAAAATACTCTGTATGGAATAAGTGTAGCTCTGAACAGGCATGACTGTGGATAGCCAAGAGACATTAAGTCTAGACGCTGCTGCTGACAGCAGTGATGTCCAAACGCTTAGTCTCTAGAACAATATGGATTGCAAAACACTTCCAGTACTTACCCTAATCAGAGTCCTACAGTGTTGAAGTGTAACACACATACACACACACACAGGCTCTTCTACTTGGTTCCTTTGCTCTGCTAAGATCTACTTCATAACAAGCTGTTTGATAAACCTACAGCCTATGTCTGACAAGAACTTGTCCTTTTGAGGAGAAGGGACAAAAACAGACTGGAAACTGGAGTCTGCCTTTGGTGTAACAGTGCACAGTCCTTTTGGAGCTGGATGTGCTCTGCTGATTTTGGAGTATTCAGTAGCTGCAGCTCAGCATGGCTTTTCTGATACCTTCTCACTGCTTCAGGCCTATCAACCCTGACACACAAGCTGTTAAGATACTGAAAGGGGAAAATAATTTGTCACTGAAAGATTTCTTAGGTATTTAAAACATTATCAAATAATTCCAGGCAGCACAGGCACAAAAAAAAAAAAAAAAAAAAAAAAAAACAACCACCACCTCTAGAAGGACCTTAAGACAATTCAAAGTCATGTTCCTATGTGCTGCCGTAACCACGAGATTACCCTATTTTATTAGAGTTACTACTTCATATTCTGCATTCTATCACTTTCTAGAAGGGTACTAGCAAAATGGTGATCTATCATCTGCAGCAGTACTTGACAGACTCCCCTAAAATTCATGAGCTGTAAAAATTCCATATTGTGTATGTAAAGAGCTCCATCTTGTGGGAACAACAACAAATCCACCCTTTCCACCTCCCAAGCCACTGAAGAGAGTTCCTGAAGGAGAACTGCCTAAAAAAAGTCATCACAGTATTTAGAAGAAATTCACACTTTGCATTACAACTTCTCTGATATATATGAAGTGTAAGAGGATAAATTAAACAAGTTCACTAACCGTCTCGAAACACTGTATTCTTAAGATGTGATATACATGTTATTTCAGAAGCCTCTGAGCCAAAATATTGGTTGCTTTGAAAGCAAAGTGCACTTTGTCTAGAAATAAATTATGCTTTTTCTCAAAACTGTAAACACGTATGACACAATGAATGTCTCATTTATCTATACGTATCTATATCTATCTTATACTGAAGCTGATTTTCCATACATACATTTCAAAAATAGCCTAGACATATCTGGGAAAAATAATTACTAACTTATCTGAAGTTGTGTATATCAACTTATATAGCTTATGGCTGCTTGGACACATAGCACAAGGAATCTGGATTGTAAATCTGGCTTCACAGAGCTAAACTGGAAGGCAGACTAATCAAAACACTGAGATATCCTGAAGAAACACAAGGATCCCGAGATGCATCACATAGCTAATTCCTCTAAATTACAAGTCAGAATAGGGGAGGAAAAAAAAAAAGAGAGAGAGAGAGAGAGAGAGAGAGAGAGAGAAAGAAAGAGGGGGGGGGGAAAAGGCAAAAAAAGGCCCCAGAATTTAGGAAACCCCCAATTCTTCTGGGAGGAAAGAGAAAGTAGCAGCCCATCAAGACGCACTTCTTCAGTCCGTGACTATACCATGCAATTACCTCTAACCTAAAAATATCTCTCTCATTTTATATTGTTTCACATGTTTCAGTGGAAGATCTCTTAAAAAGGGGCAAAGAAGCCTAAGCTGGTATGAGAAATTTTACATGTACAGTGTATAGTTATTTCAAATTTGCTTAGATTTATACACTTCTGATGATGATGATTAATTTGAGCAATATGCTAAACAACAGACTCGGTAAAAAAGTACTATCTTCTTTCTCAATTTAGGGAAGAAGCAGAGCACCTGGTGGGGAGGAGGGGAAAAAAAGCTGAGGTCAAGGACTGAACAGACACAAAGATTAATGGGGGGGAAAGAAAAGGGAGATGGAGAAAAATATTTCAGTCCCTGTCTCAATGCTATTGCAACAGGGACACTTGTGTCTTCTGTTATTAGCTGGGCTGAAGGGAAAAAGAAAAGCGTAAACAGATTCAGGTCCACAACAAATGAAGATACCTCTTTATCATTTAAAAAAAAGTCACTTGTATTCCTTTTTACAATAATAAAACAGCAGTAAAGAAATGTTCACTTTCAAAACACATATATGCTGTGAAGCACACACCTTCACTATATGCTGTGTAACACTGGCACCTTTCATGGAGAAATATGTAGGTTTCACCAGCTAGATCCTGCTGAAACACCAGAGGGCACCATCCTATACCCAAAGACACCACGAGGAAGAGCCAAAAAGACTACTGCCAGAGCTACATTTCAGTCAAGAATGTAACCATCTCCTGCCATAAAATGTACCTGAGCCTTTATAAAATAAAAATCACGTGCCCTCAAATCATCTGATCCATTAGGTAATGACAACTTCTCTACTTACACATTAGCACTCATAGCCACTCTCACAGATCTCTTCACAATAGGGTTAGCTTCCAAAGTTGCTTTTTTGATACAGAATCTTCTAAATAATTTCTGTGGATACGACCCCGGATATAAGTCTTAACGTCCAGTTGCAAATTGGATAAAAAGAGGACAAAGATTACAAATAAAGGGGAAAAAAAAAGTCGCAGGCAAAAAAAAAATCCTAAACCCCTAAAACCCAGGAATTAGTTTAACACATTGACTAGGCTAGTGAAAATGCAGGCAATGGAAGTACATACAGGCTAGTAAGTGTAAAAAGAAAGAGACTTAAATATATTTGCTGAATGTTCAGCAAATTCCCCTTCCCACCCCCCATATCTGAGCCATCTTCCTGCCCAGATCATCAGGAACGTGTATGGAACTAAAACTCCCATGGCCACCTACCAGCAGAATCTTAGCACGGTGAAAAGAATTTCCAGAGTCATTATGAAGAGAAATAAAGGGTTTTTTTTCTCTTACAGCTATGTCAATAGACATAACTTTCCAATGTTAGGTAGATCTGCCCAGGTACACAGATTTCATGCAAGCTGAAAAGACGTCAAAAAAAGACCCGAAACACTTTCCTCAGACACTATGATTCAGAAGACGAGATGACTTCCTGGTTGGTAGCAAATAATTCTGTCAGTGAGAATTAATTAGTAAAGCTTATTAGTTTAATTAATTAAAGGCAAAGAATAATATTTAACAAATCCCTTTTGGGTTTAAAAATAAATTAGTCAATTATTTCTTAATATGTCCTAAATGGGCAATGATTTGACTTTTAATCACAACCTCTATTCAAGACTAACATCTCTGAGCTTAGAGAGCCTTATTGCTAGTTTCTGCAGTGCTCCTCTTGGTGATTAAATCACTTCTAACAACAGTTACTAACAGCAGCAGGAGAAATGAAGACTTTAAAAATGGAGGGTTTCAAAAAAACAGAAGAAAACGTAAGAAAATTTAAGAAAAGTTCACCTGTCTTTTTACAGAACAAAACATGTTTGTGAAAACTAATAAGAGTTTGATGAATGACACCCCTAATATACAGTCTCAGCAGTAAAATGGAAGCCTAAATGCATCAGCATTTGTAAAAAGCGCTCCAGAAACACATGAAAAATTTAAAATATTTTCAATTCTGATTATGAACAGTGATAGGCCACCTTCACTGTAGGAAAGCTACCTTTTAAGCCCAAATTCCTGCAATTAATGAGCTCCTCCTCACTTCTCTATTTGACACTG